GTTTTTATTTTGGAGAACTTTGGTTTTTTCGGTCGGTTTTTGCATCGGTTGGCTAGCCCGTGGTTAAGGCAAAAACCACAGGTTTTTGGCTAACCACCCACCCAGCGATGGGAAGAACATCCCATTGATGGGTAAGTAGCCCCTTAGCCAAACTAACTTCCAGAACCATGCCAAACAGCGATGGGAAGCTCTACCCATCGTTGTTCAAGCCTTGGTCCAATATTATCACAAGGCAGAATGCCCTTACCCAGCGATGGGAAGCTTTACCCATCGATGGGAACCCAGCAATGGGAAGGCTAAACCATCGATGGGAAGGCATGACCGTTGGAAGTCATTTAAGGTTGATTCTTTCCTTTTTTGGAAGTCAACCTCCCACCCAGCGATGGGAAGCTTGTACCCATCGATGGGTAGGTAACCGTTGGCTTCAAAACTGAAGGAAAATTGGCCTACCAGCGATGGGTAATGTCCATACATCGCTGGGAAGCCAATATCCTGCAGATCCCAAATTTATTCAATCCCCTAAATCAAGCCAATCACCCCTTTAATGCATTGGTCCGTTGGAGCCTTTTTTGGCACTATAAAAAGGGGTGTTTGGGTCTGCTTTACAGATCAATTCACTTCACTTTATCCATATTATCATTGCATCCAAACAACATTATTTTCCATAGCTTTCTAGAGCCAATTTGTGAAGTTTGAGTTGTTCTTGAGCGTATATAGTTTACTCAACATCTACTCTTAAAGAGAGTCTTGTTCTTGAGTGTTCTTGGTGTTGTAAACACGTTTAGGGAAGCTTGTTTCCCTTGGTTGTACGAAGGAAAGGTATTTTCCTTCGGGTTGAAATCTTGGAGTGCGGTATCTCCGAGCAAGTGTATTGAGGCTCGTGGGACTCGAGTTCTCAGGTTGTAAAGGTTTGTTAAGCACCCGTAAGCTTAACGGAAGTAGTGTAGCTCGAGAGAGTCTCTCGGGAGGCTGGATTAGCCACAAGTTGTGGTGAACCAGGGTAAATCTTGGTGTGCTCCCTTTACTCCTTTTTATTCCGCTCTTTACTTTATCCCTGCGATTTTTTATTCCGCGAAAATTTATAAACATTCTCGTGCCTCACTATTCACCCCCCCTCTAGTGAAGGGCACTTATTCTAACATTAACATATAGATTATTAATATATAATTTCTATAATTTTTTAATATACAAATTACAAGATAAAATGGATTAAAGAAGTGCATTGGATGGTGTGTAAAAATGAAAGTGGACAAATACTTTAGGACGGAGGGAGTACTTCTGATTAGCACATCTGTTTTTTTAATACTCACCGCACTCACAAATACCCTCTAAGTGATTAGGTGGATTCAACTTATTAAAATCAGATTAGATCAATTTGATTTAATTAGATCAGATTTAAACATTATTATTATTATTATTATTATTACTATTATTACTATTACTACCTTTACTATTACCCCTATTATTACCCATTGCTATTGATATTACTAGTATTATTATGATTATAATTATTATTACTATATATATTATTACTCTTACTATTATTATTACTATTACTACTAATGTTATTATTATTATCACTATTATTATTGCTACTATTATTATGATTACTATTTGTAGTACGATTATGATTATAATTATTATTACTATCACTATTACTATTATTACTATTACTATTATTATAAATAATCTAACTATTATTATTATAGTAATTATTATTATTATTATTATTATTATTATTATTATTATGAGTATTACTACTATCACTATTACTATTACTATTATTATTATTACTATTATTATTATTGTTGTATTTAGGTGCCCTAGTGGCAATCAAATACCTATGTAACTGTACACTTTATCATGAACGAAAGGTCTTGAAGTATGTTTTATATCTCGTGTAACATAACATAGTTTCAGTTCATAGACGATGGCACTTCAATAACATAAATGAGGACTACGATGTTCTGATTATGAGACTGTTACTTCTTGACGAAGGCTATGTCTAGAATATCCCTAGTAGCACTTTATGATAATACGGACGTCATAACGTATCAAGACTAGTACGTATGAGATGAGGTAGTTGCGTCTCATAGACTATAGGTATTGTGATATCTTAATCTGTACATAGGTGCATATTATATTGATAATAGGTGACTGGATTGACCCACCTTTAGAATACTACATGGATCTAGAGTAATGTGTTTATCAGTATTATTAATTTGACCTTGCTATAACTATCCTCAGACTTGAAGCTATTACATTTTCTGGTATGTGGGGTGTAACACCATAATCCGTCCAGGTCTGCAGCCTCTTTTGGACTAAAGTATTAACTTGGTAATCGTAAAATTTAAAACATTTCAATCAACTTTATTTATGATAAATAATATTTATTACATAACTGTAGAAATACGGAGTATTTAATAATGTTGTGAAAGCGAATTTAAAACATGTCACATGACATTCACTATTAGTTATTTAAACCAAACATCCATCACGATCGTCTCACCCACGTCTGCCACCAGGAACAATTACTTCATTCATTCTGCATACCTGCGTGTAGCAAATAAAACACACTACAAGCTCAGTGGTGAAACTGAGTAAGCATATCTAAAGCGTCGAACATCCACATAAATTGAATCTTAATTCATAATCACACATTTGATATCATGCACACAAAATATAATTCAAACATTCAAGATATTCTCAATATTTTATTTCAAGTCATTTCATGATAAATACAATATTCAATATCTCAACAGTGCTCTTAAATTATTCTTAATATAAAGCCAAATCACTTCATAACAAGCTCTTAGATATTCCTAGTCTAAGGCAATATTTCTAACCAGGACCTTAAACTATAAATACTTTAATGTAGAACACAAGAATCGATAATCCACCCTATGGGTCATGTGGATTACGTACCAACCGAACAGTAATCTGTCGGGCGGGTGATATCCGTTCTAGATCCCGTATGTACGTTTTAACCCCGAATTACGAATTGGTCAAGGAGGTATATCATAGAGTTCTTCTAGATATCCTTAATAATCATCATCAATATACAAGTGGATATATCTTAGAGTTCTTCTAGATATCCTTAACAATATACACCATTTTCATGATCACCATTATATTCATTTTTAATCATGATTTAATCATCAATAATCATTCTAACCAATAGGTTTATCATTCATAACTATCCATAATAATTATTCATCATAATGATCATTCAACATAACATTTAATAACAAACAGCGGCCTAGTCTCGAGTGTTAACACCTAAACTTACCGTCATGCATCACATAATGTTTTATCTGCCAAAAACACCATTTTATTATACAAAATCATATTTATATTGTTCATCATTAATTGGTATAAAAAATAGGATTCCTTAGATCAAAAGTCATGTTTTCCAAACAATAATTAATTAATATATAATAGGAAATTCAATTATTAGCTACTAGCTTCATTTTCTCCAGCAGGGTTGGGAGATAGTCTATTATCACTTCTGATAATCTATTATCTGATGTTCAGAATGGGCTGATAGTCGATTATCACATTCTGATAGTCGATTATCAGCTTCTAATTCAACTTCAGAGAGGCTTGACAGTCGATTGTCACATTCTGATAGTCGACCGTTGCTCTGCTCTGTTCCAAAAATCTGCAGAACAAGCTATAGTTGATTTTTAAGTTGATAGTCGACTATTCATCGTCTTCTATCTCAAGTCAACTTGCGGAAATGTCATTTTTACTCCCCAAACTTCAATTAAAGTATATAAAAATGTTCCCCAAGGTTCATAGATCATTTTAACATCATTAATTCGTAATTTTAACATCAATTTCATGGTTCATGATTAGTTCTTCAAGCATGTCAAACACAAAAATCAACCAAATAACCATTTATGAACGTGGAAACGACCTATATGAACATTCTAGTCATTAGATATATCTACGGGCTTACCTCAAAGCTTAACGGAGGTTTTGGATAATTTCTGGCGAAACTTGCGGCGAACACCAAATCTTACTCTGGCAACTATACACCAAATTGACAACATCATTGAACTCTCCACACTTAGAGAAACATACTAGGAGGAAGAATTTCATGAATTGGTGGAGAAATGAGAGATTAGCTCTCCCTCCTTATATAGGAAAATGAAGAAGAAGAAGGAAACAAAGTCTGAGTAGGTGCTGCGTGGGAAGTTCACGTTCTTCTTTTGACTGAGTGGAAGAGGAGGCTCCGTCCCTGATTGGGACTAATTTTGGTTTCAGTTGATGTACACCTTTTGGTCCAACTTTTTTTGAAATGAATTTCGTTTGCACCGTTGCGACCAGACAGTCAAGCTTTATTCAACGACATAGGTTTTATATTTATTCGTTATACTTTTTCCAATATCATATTTTTGTGTATTTGACTTTGACAGAATCAAAATTGATTTGTTTGACCTTTACTATAAAAGGTGTTCATATTCAATTCATATTATTTATTCTCATGATTTATTTCAATAAATCATTTCAAAGTTTACATCATAAACACATTATTCATTTATTCTTGATTTTGGGTCTTTACTCAAGTTCCCAATCAAGGTCACACAACAAGTCAATCATGTTGGATTTATCTCGATGAGATTTATCCAATTATGTTTATTGGATATCAATTCATATTTTATTTCGTCCAAAATTCCAACAACAATTTATTTTAACAAATTTGATTAATTTGAATATTTATCCATTAAAAATTCTAGGATATGTTTTGGGGCGTTACATGGGGCTGTATGCTATAATTCATAAGTAATGCTATCTGAAATACTGGTAGACGTACAGATATGCGTTGGGTATGTTGCTAAACATATTTAGAGATGTGAATAGCATATATATGATCTGTCCCTTCTAGTGTTAGAAGTATAATGTCAATGGCCCCACTGAATAGTAGAACTTGGGAAAGTGCATGGCCATGCCAAGATATGTCGATATTCAAAGACTAATAAATATCTGATCCCTACAAGTCTACTTAAGACTCAGTAACAACTAATTTAACTATACAAGGATACACATCTCATGCATTATGTTAAATCATGACATTTAGGACAAAAGGATAATGGTTATAGAACGTCTTGTGCCGTAGAAGGTATTGATGAGATGAACGTCTCTTTCATAATTTGAGGGTAATAATGTGTTGCTAGATATCACTTATTATCTATCGTATTAATTTATGTTAATATCACTGCCAGTGTTATGGATACCTAAAGGATCACACACTTAAGATTTGTAAGGGAGTAGTATACTACACTAGTGGGAGTAATATTAAATATATAGTTGTGATAATTTTATATATACATATTTGTATTTCAAAAATACATATGTATTTTAAAATTACAATTTGTTTGTGTCATTTTAGTTATATGATAATTATATTTTGAAAAAACAAGTTTTATATATTTATATATATATATATATATATATATATATATATATATATATATATATATAATTTTATTTTTATCATTCTAATTATATGATAATTATTGATGTTAAAATAAAATATGATGTACAATTTTTGTGTATAAAATCCAAGACCATTTTTTATTTTATACATAAAGTATTTTTTAATGTCAAATTGATATTCCCTCCGTCCTAAAATGTTCTTCCCACTCACTTTTTACCCGGTTAAACTTTAATCACTTTATTTACCTATTTTCATTAGGTATTTGATAAAATAATATAGTCTTGTCACCACTTGTTTTGTAGAATTTTTGATGTAGTTTTTAAATATATAAATTTTATTTTTTTAATTTACACCTACAATCAAATAAATTGAATTGAAAATAAAGTCGTTCTAACCTCGTAAAATGGACCGGGAAGAACATTATACGACGGAGGGAGTATATTTGATTATTATTTGATGTAGGGATTCTATTTTGTATGGTAGCTAAGATATTAAACATTTACATATGGTGTTAAGAGATATACATGGATTTATGTTTAACATTAATTTCCTAGCAATTTTCTAAATGTACTTTATTATAAAATGGGGTCTTAATTTTTAATGAAGACACCCCAAAATTTCGTCCCTAGAGAGAGAAGGAGAAAATTATTATTTTATGTTCAAAGTCATTTTTTAAAGTGTTAGAAATATACACAAAACATTATAAAGAAATATTTATAAGATGAATATTTTTACTATATATTTATTACTCCCCAAAGTAATAACATTATAGTTTTTACTATCCTATATTAAACTTGCTAGCACAAGTTTAATCTAGGACTCTGAAGCAAGTTCGTGTGGATAGATTGGAGGTTTCATACGTTTGGCGCTATGTTCATCTCCTCAAAACCGTCCCCAATGCACCGCTAAGGTAACTTTCTTACTATAGCTAGTAATTTACGTAAGTTGTTTTTTTTGGTGAAATCGAGTTTTGGACTCTAAATTTTTGTTTTTCGTTGCGTCATCCAAGCCCTGTTTCCCAACAATTATGATTTCTATTATTATTATTATAGTTATTATTATGATTACTATTATTATTACTATTATTACTGTTATAATTATTTTTATAATTATTATTATTAATATTTCTATTATTATTATTATTACTATTATTATATCTATAATAATAATAATAATAATAATAATAATAATTTAATTTTAATTTAAGTCAAATAAAGAGGATTTAGAAGAAAAAGTTGGTGAGCATGTCGAAGAGAAGAGTGTAGGCATGCATGAAAGATAAGAAATTGATCATATTTCTTTTTGTGAAGTGATGGCATCTACAGTAAAAGAAGTCATCAAGGAAACATGTGAAGATTGGGATATCAAAAGATTATTTGATCTAACTGAGCTAGGTTGTGAGGCAAACAAAGATCCAAGAGAAATAAAAACATCTAAAGATATTGAAGTTACTATTGAAATTGAGGAACAAAAAGTGGAAGAAAAAATATGTCTTTAAAAGTGGAAAACACATCAAGGACAAAGAGATCAACAAAGTGAAGGATTAATTGAACGATGATGAAGGCGCTTTCATTGTGAATGAAGGTAATAGACAAAGTTCTCTCACAAATCATGCGGAAGCAAGATGCATATCATCAAGCAATGATGGGAGAAGGTTTTTAGTTGAAGCAAATACGAGAATTAGAGAGTGTGTATTATGTCATGAAGGGAAATCATGGAACATTTGGGAAAGTATCCAATGAGAAATACAGTTTAAGGATGAAACTACACGAGAATGGTGGAAAGATGATGAAAAGAAAACCGGACATAAAAGCTATAGAGAAGCTTCACAATCTTCACAGGTTAAAAATAAGGAAAAATACATGATATCATTTGGAATGAAGAAACATAACAAAGACAAGTTAGACTACATATGTAAGTGAAGAAAAGAGATCTATGGACAAAAACAAACTTCAAGAAAAGTATGGCATGTGAAGATACTTTTATATCAAAATGCTTAGATTAAAGTTTAGTTTGAGGAGTGTTGGAATTCAAACCAAACATTAGTAATTATTCAATATTGATGCATGCAACATATGTTGGTGTTGGAAAAGTATGCTTATTCACTAAGGGGGTGTTTGTTTTTTCTGCAGGAAAAGATCTGCAGTCTGCGGACAACTACTGTAGACATCTGCAGGAGAAGTGGTGGATCGAAGGTCTGCGATCTGCAAGAAGAAGACTGTTTGTTTTTTAATGTCTATAGACTGCTATATAAATTAATGGTGGTAGTGTACGGTGGTGGTGGAGGTTGGTGGTGAAGGGTGGTAGCGGTGGTGGTGGACGGTGGTGGTGGTGGTGGTGGACGGTGGCGGTGGTGGTGGACGACGGTGGCGGTGATGGTGGTGAAGAGAAGTAGAAGAAAAAAAATGGAGAAGATGTTAGAAGACGTTAGAAGACATAGGTTAATGTCTTCTCCAAGAAGATGCCAGGAAGACCTTTTTGAGTGAAATGTTTTCCAAAAAAACAAACAATCTGCAGAGCTCAGCGTCTGCGCGGCGCAGACAAAAGAGGCCAAAAGCTCTTCTGGCCAAAAAACAAACACCCCCTACCCCTAATCATTAAAAAAGTCAAATGGAACTCCACAGTACAAAAGTTACTCTGTATGCAAGAATCAAATGGAATTTTAGAAGTCATTGCTCTTTGCAAAAGTCCAGTGTTTCATGGAAGAGCTAAGCATATTGATATCCGGCATCACAAGATTCGAGAATTGGTAGATGAAAAAGAAGTGGTGATTGCTTATTGTTCAACTGGGGAACAAGTGGTAGATATATTTACAAAGCTATTGAAAATGGAGTCATTTTATAAACTGAAGAAGATGCTTGAAATCATCTGTTGTACAAACTTGGTTTCAGGAAAGCAATGTTAGAATATTAAACCAAGCTTATGTGATAAGTTTGCAAGTTGTCATGAAGAAGAATTCAAGTGGATCAAGTTTCAAGCCTATTCATTAGAGGAGTAAAAACCAAATTGAAGACTTACTTTTAGATACGAAATATATTATCAAAAAAATAAGAATACAAGTTCAAATTGAAAACTACTTCCTTTCAGATAAACATCATCTCATTGGATAAGCATTGTCTACTTCCAATATAAATAAGCATTATCTAATTCCTATTAGATAAGTATTACTATCTTATTAATACGGAGTATTATATTACTATATAATGCATATATAAAGGCCTAGCTAGCCATGTATTCCAAATATATGCATTCATGTACTCCAATGAAGTAAAATGAGTGTAATCTGAAATAAAATATCCTCTTTCCTTCCTCTTACATGTGAGTTTATATTATTCTATCATGATCTCTAGTACTTTTGTAGTTTGAAAAATAGACACCAATGCCTTCTTTTTTGCCATAAAAATGAAGCAAAAATAATCAAAGGGGTACGTCTACATGCATTTGAAACCATTGAAATTTTTTGAAAAATCCCAATGATATGAAATGATCACGAGGTTTTGGGATCTACTTTATATAAGAAAAATAGATGCACTTTGGCATGCACATGTCACCTACTCACCGGTACAATCGACTCATATATTATCTATATAATCAAGCAAGTGATCTAAAGAGTTGAAGGAAAACATAATGGAAAAATTGAACATTTAATCATTAGAGGATTATTATTATTATTCAAAAATATCCTCTGATTCATCATCATCCATCTCTTTGTTAAACAAAAGTGTAAGGTAAGGCATGATCTGAGGGAGAATGTGAAGGTACTTTAAGTTAACGCTCATGAGATCAAAGGCAACACAAGTCTTGTGCTTCATATGGGTATTATCGAACACGGGAAGTTTTGGGTACCTTTGGCTGAAATGGGTTAGAATGATCCGATACACCCCAGCATCCGCTCCTACCTGAATCGCCTCCCCCATCGTGCTGTGTTCCTTCTTTATCGCATCACTTGCCTTCCCGTCCTCGAAAGTTGCCTAGAAAATAAGGATAGATAAACATAATCACCAAAAAGACAGATATGTATGTACGTGTGTGTTACATTACATGCATACGTACGCATGTATGTGTTTATTACATTACCAAAGCTAAACCCAACTTGACCGACCTGCTACGGTTTCCGAAATCATTTACTCTGTACTTCAATATGAAATACTTCATCCATCCCTAAAAACATTTTCCTTTTTGACTTTTGGAAGGAGAAGCTTATACGTTTCAATAAACATGCCAATTGCCAAATTTGGCACATGATACCGATCATTGGTTGGCATGCATGCCGCTAGTACCGTGGATTCAAACCCCTTATGCTCACATATCCCAAACATATAAACATTATGATAAAGAATAATAAATAAATTACCTCGTGTATGAGAAGGGTGGCGCCACGAGAAGCCTCAATGAGCTCAGTGCATGGCCTAGTATCGCCTGAATACACAACCTTCCACCCTTCAATGACCTTTCCAACATTGTTGACTCTCTCTGATGCCTTGATAACCACGCCAAAAGCTGCATTCGATTTCCCGCAATGCCTTACTGGAAAACTAACCAGATCATCCAAGCCCGCTTCCCATAGCACCTTCTTCAAGCTCTCAAGGATCGGAATTGCATCCTTTTTTCTGGGGAAATCTTCGAGTGTGGGTGCTTCTTTGGTGGTATTTCTACAGTCTAGGAAGAGCATGTCAAGATCTTCCAGTTTCTGATATGCATTCAGGTATTTCTCAAGCTGCCAAGGCCCCACGACAATTATAGGGCTGTGAGGCGACCCTTTAAGTAGCTCACGTCGCCGGGTGAGAATTCTCGTCAATCCTGTGTGGTGATCGGCATGAATGTGAGAAATCCATATGCACTTGAGGTCACTCACGGCCTTGTCTGCACCCATTATTCCGAATCTGTTTCAAGTGAAGACTGCTGCTTTGTAAGCAAGTCCATAAAAACGTCAAACATAGTTTTAACTTTTAACAACATAGGTATTCTAAATAGTAAAGCAAAAAGTCATAGTTTTTAAAAGATACTCCGTATATGAAAGAAATTGTTCAAACATATAACTGAGAACGCTCTTCTCTCTAAGAAATTAAGGGCATGCAGAGCATCGCCTATGAATCTCCAAAATAGTTGATTCATTGCAGGGACTAAAGTCCGGTGTTACTTTAGAAATGGGAAAACAAGACAGAGAAAAGAAGATATGGTTTCTTTGAGCTATACCTTCTTCTCATCTGGCCGAGGGTTCCTTCCCCACAATCGAGGAGCAAGCCCCCCTTGGTGAAGAGATTGATATATATTGAACTAACATTTCTGTACTTTGATGGCTGAGAAGAACCTGTTCCTAGAAGAACAATCTCAAGATCATCATCTCTTACATTTTCCAAGCAATTAGGAATTTTATTCTCAGTTGGCCACATTTCCTCTTGCATGAAATTTGTCTCCACAGCAATCTCCTTATCTAGGTTACACAAATTCCGCACATCTTCTTTAGCAACTGCAATTTCTGGAATCTCGGCAAGCAATTCCTCTTCTGTCTTAGAGGCACTCTTCAAACTCGGGATGAATGATCTGTCCAATCCAATTTTATCTCTAGATTGTAATCTAAACTGCTCAAAGATGTAGATTACAGGAGGGTCATATATAGTGAAGAAAATATGGCGCAACAACTTTTTGGGTTTGCAAAATCACAAGAAACACATTGGCCACACGTTTTTGCATTGCATATTTGCATGTAACTTAAGAAGTGGGGTGACCGGGTGAGAGAGAAAACACGGGTGGGAGAAAAACAAAAGTGAGATCACTATAGCAAAAAAGAAGGGTTTTAGAAGCAAACAATACTCTTCAGTCGAAGTTTCTCGTACCTTAAGCAGATTTTCGGCAGAGATTGTCTCGCTTGAGATTAGAGAAAAGCCCTGATGAATATGATCCACAATAAGTTGCTCGGTCGTTATTTATATAGTGAATAAGAAACAAGCATAAGCAGGATGCAGGTTCTAGACTCTAAACCCATAGCATATATTAGGAGCAAGTACTACTCTTAAGTAGAAACTTTTCTTACCTCAAGCATAAGATTTTCGGCAAAGTTTATCTCACTTGAGTTCGGAGAATAGCCCTGATGAACATGGAGAAAGTCAAACATCAAATACTTAATCCATAAATGCAGCAAATACAAAATCCATAAATGCAGAAACTCGCCTCATTGCAAAAAGAGTCAGATAGTGGAAAAGATTTTTTCACAGACCAAAAACCAGGGGAAGGGAAAAACTGAGGGCATAGGTAATTCAACCGGGAAGCAATTCTTGCACTCCCTCCTAAAATCGGGATCTCTACATTTTTCCTTCAGACAAAAGAGGCTCAATCATAAGTAACCGAAAGAGGAAATAAAACTACGAGCTAAGACTTGAAATTTGGAAATGGTTCTGCCAAATTCCATTACATACTTTTGATGACCAGCTATTACGTGCTGGGCTGAACCAAATCTCTTCATCCAAGTCTGGTAATCAGGATCACTTATGACAGAGATTGGGCTCAAATGAATCACACAGCTCACAACTTTTGAAGATCCTTCACCAGAGAGATCTGAATAATAGTTTCTCAAAGAATCTTCGAACATTAATTTGCAGAAATGAAATTTGGTGGGGCAATCTACAAGAACTACTATTGAACCAGGGGTTGGAGGATCCATCACGTCAGCAGGATGTACCTACACAATTGCAAATTGGATCAGAGAGTGGGAGTGGATTTGGTTTTTCACTTTTCTCCGGAAAGAGAAAAGTTACGAGTACAAAAGAAAAACATTAAAATAGCTTTATTATATTATAGTACTTCGTATTAATTATAAATGCATCCAAAGGGTTTCTTATTTTTTGGATGGAAAAATTGAAGTGAACAGGAGCCTAAACAGCAGTAATATCACCCAAGAAAAAAATGAAATATGAAGAAGAGCGAGTGATCAGAATAACATGGTCACATTTTCTTCATTTCAAATTCCACTATTCAGCATTTCTTAAGTATTTCAAACCTCGATATTTATTTGTTTTGAGAAGACTGATTTTCCATTCTGCAGCATGCCATACAGAGGCCCGGCTTGTAGTCCTTTCTCCATGGCTCTATCCGGGTGAAATGCACCCATCCTTTCTGGTAACTCACAAACATAAACCACTGACATGCCACCTGGCTTCGGCCCAAAACTGATTCTCCTCTTTTCCTCGAGGGATTTGGATGAATCATCATTGTTTGTTATCAGAGAACGATCTTCAGGACAAAGGAGAATAGCAGATATTTTAACATCAGCATTATCAATAAGAACACCGTTCTCCATGAATACTTTTGTGTGGACCATGGAATCATTAGGGACGAAGCAACGCATGGCATCGACCAAGTAATTCAGTTCTGAAGGGCCCCATATATTAACCTTAAGAAGAAAGCATGAAGTTATGTCATGAAGTGATAAAACTTTATACATGTACAAGCAAAAAAAAAGATAACAAAAAGGAAACTGGTGTACTTACTGAATTTCCTTCTTCTACCAGTGAAACCAGTCTCTCTGCCTTCCTAGGTAGGGGTATGGTCTTTGTACATCTACCCTCCATGGACCCCACTCGTGAGATTTCACTGGAATGTTGTTGTTGTCCCAAGCCTGCCAGTGTTAATAGTAATCCTGTACATAAAGAATTGTTATCAGTTTACAATGATAGAGAGCCAGAGAGATAATCAAAATTAAGAAGAATATATGATCCATTTTGAAAACCACAAATGAGACGTTAACCTGGAAGTCCACCTGCAGTCTCCGAGCACACACGGGAGAACAATATATGATCTATCTAGAGCAAGAGAAAAAGGCAGAAGAAAGATTAGCCCTGGTTGAATTGTTGAAATAAAAGTTTCAGGACTGCAGACACTATTCTTAGGTCAAACTGTATTCACTTTGTTTGCTTATTTTCACAACTCATTTCATAATGAAAATTAGTGATGTCACCTATTGTTTTGAAAAACTTTTTATGTAGTTTTTAAATATATACTCCCTTGGTCCCATGCCAAAAGGCACAAGTCCCAATTTTGATTTCAAGACAACTTTTGTTTCTTTATGTGTTTTCATTGATCAATTGATAAAATAAAATAGTCATGTCACGTCTTGTTTTGTAGAACTTTTGACGTGGTTTTTAAATATGTAAGTTTTATTTTTTTAGAGTGAATTCCCAAAATTGTCCTTTCAAATTAGGTGTTTTCCCAAATCAGTCCTCAATAAGTAATAACTACATATATGGTACTTCATAATTGAGATATTTTCCCTTGATAGTCTTCAATAAACAATAATTACATACATGGTACTTTATATTTGAGATTTTTCCCACGATAGCCCTCTGACAATTGGGGTGATATTATAATTATAACCTCAAGAAGGGTGATTTAGAAAAAAAATAATTAGAAAAAACTATTTTCACAACTTCCTCATAGTTTAGATGATGAAAAATACCAAAATAAACTCCCTCCATTCACAAAATATTTCTGCCCTAACTTTTGGTGCATTCCACAAAACACTTCTAGTGATATTATAATTATAACCTCAAGAAGGGCGATTTGGGAAAAAACAAATTGGAAAAGACTATTTTCAAAACTTCCTCATAGTTTAGATAATGAAAAATACCAAAATATACTCCCTCCATTTCACCAAACAATCATGCCCTAACTTTTTTTGCATTCCACAAAACACTTCTAACCCACCTAAAATGTATAACAACAACAACAACCCAGTTAAATCCCACAAGAGTAGGGTCTGGGGAGGGTGTGTGTACGCAGACCTTGCCCCTACTTGAAAGTAGAGAGGCTGTTTCCAAAGAGATCCCCGGCTCAACGTCGAAAGTTGCATTGCTTGACTAACTGCTACTTCATTAATTAAAGAGCGCAGACAGTTTAGAGATCCATTTTGATTTATTCCATCACACCCCAAAGCCAAAAAATGGTGAAATTTTGACTCTATCGGAGATGATGGAAAAATAACCTCATTTTGATTTATTCCACCTAAAATGTATAAAATAACCTCAAAATAACTTCTACCCCCCAATAAAGGAGAAATTGGGTGTATTCACCAGAATTTAAGGTGGGGTAAGAGTGTTTTGTGGGATGCATAAAAAGTTAGAGCGGAACTGTTTTGTGAAACAGAGGAAGCACTACATTTAATAGTCATTTGATGGACAATTATTAGAGAGGACTACCAAGGGAATAAATGTCAATTGTAAAGCACCACATAGGTAATTATTGATTATTGAGAACTAATTTGGGAAAACAAGTAAAGGACCATTTTGGGAATTCACTCTATATTTTATTTCAATACTAATTTTTATATAAACTGATTTTAAAAAGTGTGGTTTTACTTCGTTGTCCATGTTGTGCCTTTTGGCTTGGATGGATTTAAGTTTTATACCTACAATCAAATAAATTGAATTGAAAATAAAGTCAGTCAAGCCTCGTAAACCACAGTGGGAAATTCAATTCTAGACAGAGGGAGAACTTCGTATTACAATACAGTGTACCTTTGATAACTTAACTTTATACTCCGTGCAAAACCTTTGCAGACCCTGAGAAGAAGAGCCGATGTTAAGTCAAGTTAACACTGTTAACTTGCAATTGTGTTACACTATTACACCCAATCCAATGATGCAAAGAGTGAACCTTTAATGAAAAATCAAATCAAGAAACAAGAGGGGCGTGTGAAGAACTCTCTAGCACAAGTATAACCCCTTACCTCACCAGCATTAAAAATATATCTTTGGCGATCAAAGAAAAGTAGGACTGAAGATGATGCATCATGAGTATCCATTCCATTGCCCAGGATCTGCATTCCATAAAAGAAATCATACAAAAGCCGAGAAGAATAACACATGATCTGAAAATTGGACTACCTTCTACTCTTCTAGCCACATCGGAGCACAAAATATTTCCCTCTAATCTAGAATAACGCAATACGAATGAAAAGTGACAACTTCCACACACACACAGATACATATATACATATACATACATACGTACATACATACATACATACATACATACATACATACATACATACATACATACATACATACATACATACATACATACATATACTAGGTCAACAAAATCTACTAGGTCACTTGTGTGGGTATGTAAATGTGACCTTCAAATATTTCTTACTAATGTAAGTGTTGTGAACTAAAAACTCCAACTTTGCAATCACTGACTAATCAACAACAGTCAGTGATTGCAAAGTTCGAAACTTGAGCTTATGTAATAATATAAAAGCTTTTCCTAGACTACAGCGGTAAACTTGAGCTTTGAGTTAGTTTCTTGACCTAGTATCAAGACTTGTTACCCAGGAGGTCATTGAGTTCGAAACTCACCCCACCAGTAAAAAAAAGAAGGTTTCACCCAGGCAATGGGTCGTGTTAGAAATTTAAAAACTTTTAGTGTGCCCTGCAAGCCCGGTTGAGAGAAGGGACGAAGAAACTCATATGCAAATTCCTATTTGATGCAATACTCCCAACAATTGAGAAAAATCTGAGATTATGTGAAACATAGATGCAGGTGGTAAGAGCAACGGATAGGTGACCCGACCCGGATAGGTGTGTATACCTGGATGAACGCATTTGTACTGCGGCTGATACGATCGGCCCTAGAGCACTTCTTGAGAGGGGGCTCCTTCTCCTTCTTCAGCACGCCCCCCTTCCTCTTGAGCTTCGTTTCCTCCATGCGAGATCTATTCCAAGTGCCGCCGAGACGACCCACTGAGTCCGAGGTACAAAGGCTGAGCAGACTCGCGAGGCAATTCCCGGGTCGTTTTCCGTGGGAAAGTTGTTCCGGACTGGGAATACGGCGATTGGTGAACAAGAAAGGAAAAAAAAAATAAAAAGGCAATCAATGCTATGCACGCGTGGGGCATTGGTCTTTTGTGTGAAGTGAACTTTTGAAATTCTAATGTCTCATTCAATTTAGTTTAATTAAATTTAAATTTGATTTAAATTATACTTATAATTATTAGAAAAAAATTTGAAAAATATAACTTTTTAAGTCCTAATATTGTTTTCATGAATCATTCCTTCAAGCTAAGTAATTAATACTCCCTCCGTCCTAAAATTAATTTCCCATTTGACTTTTCACGATCTTCAATGCGACACTTTGACTATCAATATCTCAATTTTTATATAAATATATTTTATAAAAATTATATATTTCAAAACTATGTTTCAAAATGAATCTATTGCTAATAAATTTTTATGAAAATTCAATGTATCTTTTCCGTAATATATGGTCAAAGTTTAAAAAATTTGACTATAAAAGTCAAAGTGGGAAGTTAATTTTAGGACGGAGGGAGTAGTAATAATGATTTGTAGTTGATATAAGAATAATAATAATATTTCATCCGTCCTATAATAATATGTACGGAGTAATAATAATAATAAACATATTTAAAGATATAATATTAATTAATATTTAAGTGTGTAGCTTTAAATAAAGAAATGTCATTTAATTGAATAGTAATTATTATTCAATTCTTGAAAAAAATATTAATATTACTTATTTTGATCTGATCTAATCTAATTGGATCTAATTTGATCTGATTTTATTAAGAATACATAGTAACCAGAAAAAACAAGTCCCATGGAATGGACCATAAGGCATGGATCGGCCCGGGAGCTGACCAAACAAGACAATTTTTTTCATTTTTAAAATTTCAATTTATTAGAATAAGGGGGGTGTATTCAATCTAAATTTTAAAAGATTTTGATATATTGTTTAAAATCTATGGATTCTGTAAATTCAATGGATCATTTTAAGTCTACGCAGAGTTAAATAGATTTTAATATATTTTATCAGCAGGATTTTATAGGATTTTAATAGATTTTTTTCCTTTTTTTTCTTTTTTCTTTTTTTCCTTCATCCTCCTCAACCCTAGCCGCCGATGTCTCTCTTTTTCTCTCTCCTTTCTTTCCTCACCGCCACCATCGTTCCCTTGTCGCCGCCGCCTTTGCCGCCGATCCCTTTCCGCCGCCGCCTCTGCCACCACCATCGTTGCCAACCACCAAAAAAAGATGGTGTCTAGCTCTCGGATGAGGGAATCCTTCCCGCATCAACACCAAATGGACAGCGATGACCAACGATTTCCGATGTAAAAAAGTAGTCGCCCAGAAGAAGATTAGTCCAAGAGCCGTGGAGTTGCAAAATCTTTCAATTTTTTGTCAGCTTTTGGACATAGATTTCAATTTTTATCAAAATCTATTGATTTTTGAATACCATTAGATTTAGAAGGATATATTAAAATCTGAATTGAATACATCTAGATTTTAAATGACTTTTTAAAATCTGAATTGAATACCACAAACTTTTGAAATCTAAAAAAATACTACAAAATCCGGATTGAATACACCCCCCCTAAATGTCTAATGCTATAGGAAAGGTGAATAGTGTTTGAATAAAATCGCATAAAATTAAAGCGGAGTAAGCGGAAAGTACAAAGCATAAGGAAAGAATACATTGAAACAAACTGGTTCACCTTAACTTGTGGCTACGTCCAGTCTCCCGAACACTGCCTTCATTAAGCTTACGGGTGCTTAACAAACTGGTACAACCTGAGAACTCGAGTCGCACGAGTCTCAGCACACTTGCTCAAAGATACCGCACTCCAAATCTTCAACCGCTCGACCTCCTCGCCCAAAACTTCACACCAAAGAAACTAAAGCTTCCTTCAAGCTACAACAAGGGGACAAAACCTTCCTTCAAGTGTATACAAACACTTAAGCACTCGAGAACAAAACTCTCTTTTGGAGTAGATATAAGTAAACTAATGAACGCTTAATAATACAACAATTTCTTCAAAAATTGGCTTTCATAAACTATGAAATATGAAGGATATGAATGCAATGAAAGAGTATTTAATTAGTTGTTGAAGAAAATGTGTAAAATGAGAGGTTTAGGTACCTTTTTATAGGCTGAAATGGGGGGTTAACTCTTGCGCAATAGCCCAAAAGAACCAGGACAAATATTTGTAAAAACTAGTGTGATGGTCGATTATCATAAGTGGATAATCGTTTTCACTCGGCCAAATTCCTCAACAATCGGCGGTTCCCGCTCGATGCCTCGACCTCACCACGACAGGTGGAAGGGCCGAGCAGAAGGAAGCAACAAATAAGCATAATAAAGGGCAATCATCAATTTTTTTTTCAGAAAGGGGATAATTATGATTACAGAGAAGGGTTTGTGACCCTCGGGCGTTAAAGCAACCCTCTCCCTCATGATCAGCGAATATTTGTGACCCTCGGGCGTCGTCGACCATGAAGAGAGAAGGGTTTTCATTTAGGTGAAGGTTGTCTCCCGAAATGCAGGGGAAGCGGTAAACTTGGCGACAACTTAGGACTTAGCAGCTTCCAGTTCAGTTGGAAACTTCTCTTTCAGCTCGAACAAATCTTTCTGTTCCATCTCTAACTGGGCATTCAGCTCATCCACAGACTTGAGGTAGACCATCTTATCAATTTCATGTTGATTCTTGAGATCTAGAAGTTGACGACAGAGATCACTGACCTCTTCATCTAGCATCCTTCTACGATGGGTGATCTCAGAGTGCACTGACAGGCTTTACAAGAAACCGAAGAAAGGGAGAAGAAAACAAACCTTTCACAAAGAAACCATGAGAAACACCAGAGAGAATAAGCAAAGATGACACAATCGACGGAAAATAGGGAGAAATGGGGAGGATGCTGATTATAAAAAAAGGAGAGTGGGAGACTCTTGATGTAGATATGAGCTCGGCCCCCGAGACGCCGCACAAGATTAAGCTCAAAATGGAAAAGCCCAACTCGGCCAATTACACCCTCAGCCGATCTTTACCCATGGGCCTGGTACTGAAGCATGTATTCTCTGCAGCCATCTTACTCAACATATGGTCTTACTCGACCGGCTTTACCACATTGACGTATCGTGCCATGGGTAAAAGTCAATTTATGGGGAACCGCGAAGGTTTAGGGGCCAGAATGGGAAGGCGTCATCAGAGGGCGACTCGTAGTTAGGGAGAAAGTGATGTATCACATGAATGAGACAAATGTAATTAAGAGGCCCATGTGCTTTTTTGACTAATGAGAAATGGGTATCAGCCCAATATCAGGTGTATAAATAGACCCTTCCACCAGAGGGAGGTAAGTCAGATTCTAAGTTAATTAATTCATATTACAAGCTTCTTGTTGTAGTCCATACTACCCCCACTCTTTGGAATCCATCAAATAATACTAATGATAACAATAATATTAATAACAACAACAATAATACGGAGTAATTGTCATTGTTATTTGAATTTGAAGCAAATTAGACCAGTTCATATCTATTCAGAGCAGACCAAATCAATTTATATTCGATCAGATCAGATTCATTCATATCTAATCAGATGAGATCAATTTAGATTCGATCAGATCAGATTCAATCTCGAGCATCCTCCTCTCTGTGGAATTGGAACTGCAACATATACCGTACAATTGATTGTATGATGTTTTACGTACATTCACATGAATACTCATTTTCGATTAACCAAATATTCATTTCTGAGCTACTGAATACTCATTTTCTTCCAAAATTTAGTTATACTCGAAAATGAATATTAAATTAATAAAAAAAGAGTATTCACGTGTATGTAGTGAAAATAACCTTTCACCTTAGAGTGGTTCTTTACTGGGTGGTAAGTGGATATTTTTTACGATATCAATGTAGTAAAATCCATAAAAGCTAGCATGAACTTTGGAATAGTAAAAATTATAGGTACTCTTGAGGCGGGTCTCCAGTTGCTGTACTTAGCTATATCCGGCCCTCTGCAATATTTGCATTTGTTCGATATGCCGTTCAGATACTCAGATCACACTCCCTATCTTGGATTCCTGTATTCTTTTTATTTTTTATTTTTTATTTTTACATAGTCATTCATATCCATATCACTTTTACCTAACAAATTATTTCCCGAAAATTCTCTCACCCTCTCTCTGATTCCAAACAAAATCCATCCAGTCGGCCACGCCCCTACTCCGATCCACCCGCCGGCCGCCGCCTTGCCTCTCTGCATCTTCACCAAACTCGGAACTTCGGAAGTAGGTCGTGGTTCTTCTTCTTCTTCTCAGTATTCTATCGTTCAACTTCTTGATCCTTTTTTTTTGTAAAGTGCAAACCCTAAATCACTCATTATTTCATTTTTTTGAGTACATCATTGTGTGGATCACATGAGAAAATGCTACAATAGTATAGACCAATACACAGATGTTTATTGATTACAATATTTGTGTAGATAGATATATTGGCTACATCTAAATTAGGTGTTTCCTCCGTCCGAATTTATGCTACTCGCTTTGATTGAGCACAAAGGTTAAGCAAATGAAAAATGAGTGGTTGAGATTTATGCAGAAAAGAAAGAAACAATGCAAACCACACAAATAGAAATGGGAAAGAAAATTACAACGAACCAGAAAAGAAAACCGAAAATATAACTTGGGACAACCGAGTATATTTAATAAATTACACAAAAAATAATGAGATACAAGGAAGTTTTATTACTACAAAATATGAATATTATAAAAATGATAAAATTATAAAAACAAGTATTATCTAACTTTATTCTTGACATAAAGCAAATTTTATTTGTATATACATGCCAAATTAATAATTGATCCCTAAAGGTTCTACTGATAGAAAAAATAAATGTTAAAAAAGTAGTTATAGATATCTAACCTCTTTCGCCGCTCGACGCCACATTTGAGAGAACTTTTCATGTTCAAACACATCGTATTGAACTCCATTAGCTTAGCTACTTGGGTAGAATAGATCTCTATTCCGAAACTTGCATTGTGTCTCAATCTTTGCTTTGGAGTGAGGGAATCAAAGGCAACAATGTATGAGGGGTCTAACAAAAACAATAGGACAACAAACCGGTATGGCAATATCATCTCAATTCCGTTAGGGTATAGGGAGTCGAGATGTAAAAATAGAGGCAGTTTCCGTTAGACCCTAAATTAAATGCACTGCTGCATTTATGTACCAAAACTTCATAGAAAGTAAGAAGCAAGAGAAGTTTAATGTGCCATTTTGATTTAGTCCATTATGTGTTTGAAACTAAAACATTGTCAATGTTGACTCTTTTAGCTCCATTGGAAATGGACGGGGTCTAACAGATATAACCTCTCTATTTACAATTGTGTATATTTCGACTCCCGAGACTGCCAATGGAGTTGTGATTGTATTAGGTTTGTTGTTGTTTTGTATTGTAAGATAATCAAAACGGGAAGAAGTGTCTAACGATGGGTTGGCTACAAGCTGCTGTTTGGGATGAGGTAGGCCAAGGGAGGCACTTTTGACTTTGTTTGGGAAACAAAAATAATGAGTGCAAGTTGTGCAACTGAGGTAGATAGAGGCAAGACCACAAGACTCAAGAGTTACCTTATAATATCAACTTCTTGATGCCTTTGAGTCAGAAGGAAACTGAAATAGCTACCATTACATCCTATGATATTACTAGATACTTGCTACCTCTTTTGAGAAATTTTTAATGCACACCTACCATAGTTTTCCTCATAACTAGCCAAATGACTTGTTATGAAATAACACCTCCCTAGAATAAGTTATATTAACTACCTCTAGTTAAATTCATTTGCCTACCTTAGATTGACCTCCTCCTGCAGCAGCAACAACCCAGTAAGGTCTCACAAGTCACAAGGGAGGTCCGGAGAGGGTAGGTGTTTGGCTCCCTCCCAAACATACAGAAAACTTTAAGTCTTCCCTTGATATAAAGATTTAATTTATGACTCATTTGGCACAGTATTAATGAGCACTAAATGTTAGAACTATACATCCTCTTTTTTTTTATATATTCCGAGTTCAGAATCTTCCCGCCTTCCCTGAAAGTAATCTTTAGCTATTATATTGAGATGGATTTTGACAAAGCTCTTTTTTATAACTCAGCCTGTGCAGACACTCACAAGGCGAGTGATCTTCCTCCTCCATCCATGGCAGCCTCCAAGCTCCAAGCTCTGTGGAATCATCCCGCCGGACCTAAGACCAGTGAGTTACTTTCCTGCAGAACTAAGTGAACAAGTGATTAATCCCCTGCGCCTTTGCGCACCAGACACCTTAAGGCGTAAGCCTCATTTTAGTCTTAGGAGACTTAAGATTTATGGGCTTTTCTTTGCGCCCAACGCGCAAGCCTCATACACCTTTTCAAATCATGCTTCCTATACATGTGTACATCATATTCTTTGATTAGGAATGTCTCTGGGAGTTAGCTGATTTACGTTCTACTCTGATGTTATTCTAGTTCATTTCTGGGCACCAACCTTTAAGTGGGGTATTAGCATAGCGAACATTGCTGATTTTGCTAAACCCCCAGAGAATCTCTCCTATCCCCAGCAAATAGGTATGTCCCTCTATTTTCTCTCTTAAACATCACCATCCTCATCTGGCTACACTGGCATGTGATTGGGCTTTGAAGCATCTTTTTTCTGGTTTCTGATAGAAGAAAAGTAAAGCTAATGCTTTTTATTATCCATGCAGCGGTTACCGCCACTGGAATTATCTGGTCACGCTATAGCACTGTAATTACACCTGTAAGTTCCTGTATGATGTTTAAAACCTAATGTTGAACTGCATCGTTTTCATATGAAAAATTGTAGCTTATAATAGAAAACAAAATGAAAAAGAAACAAGGTATTGTCTAAAAATTTGCAGCAGTTGAGAAACAAACGCCAACTGCCAAAAATCTGCCAAGTTCTATGAGCCAGTCAGCCAGATGTCAATAATTCATGAAGGACATGTTACTTTTTTTTATTCTTTTGGTTCAGTAAATGGAAAAATATGTATTGATTGGTAGCATGCATTTTAAGTTGTGTTGTTAGGTCAAGTTTACTAGGTCAAGCTTACTTTTGTGCAGCTAAGATCTGAAACAGGTTATAATTGCTCATATTTGGTTAGTTCTGTTCTATGACTATAGAAATTGCAGGATTTCTTGTTTGAATCTAATATTGTATCTATATCTTATTATCATTCAATAAGTTGGCTACTATTTGATCTCAGACTCTGTTTTTAGCGCATTCAAATCATCCTTCGGTAGAAAACAATATGCTTTGATGTACTCATGTACATGACATATCTTAGGCGTATTCATTCTTATTCACTGTGAGTATTTACCCTCAATACCAAGACAACTGCCCCATTTCTTTCTACCTGTCTGCCGTGTATTTTATTCTCTCATTTGTGAGCTGTTATGTGCCAGCTTTTCCTTTCATTCATATTTGATCATCTTACTGTGTTTGAGTCCATTCTGAAACAAATTCCATTTCAGCTACATTTATGGCATGTTTGGGAAGTTTAATTTGGATTTCAAGTTCAGATTTGACCCAATTTGCATGTTTTGAAATCCAAAAAATTGGATTTGGATTTGGACCAAATTGCTCTAATTTCCATCAAAGCTCAATTTCAAATGCATACACTCCCCCTTGTAATTTGAAATCCAAGAATTCAAATTTTAGAATTTAAGTCCAAGAATTCGAATTCATTCCTAGTTTCCGAACACTACCTTATATATATGTCTATTTTTGTAACACTCTGCAAGTATGACTGTGTTAGGCCTATTGTACATATTTGATCTATTTTTTACTGCGCCCTTTCTGTTTTCTTGCATGAATGAAGCATGATCCTTCATCTACTAATGATATGCTCTCTATTACCACTGAGAAGAAAGCTGAAAATGGTTCCTATGAACCTATCTGTGCTCATTAAATACATTCTGTATTGCCTATTGTGTTGCTGTGTATATTACGTATGTGGCATTCTGGCTCTTGCCTCTTGCATTTGGGTTGCTACAGTGCTTCACTTGTTCCCATTTGGGACTAATCTTTAATGATCTGATTCTGAACTGCAGAAAAACTGGAACCTATTTAGTGTAAATGTGGCCATGGCAGGTACTGGCATCTACCAACTTACTCGTAAAATAAGGTATGCCATTTTCTTTGATCACACAGTGCCCTTTTATTTTTATATCGTGTGTGGGTTATGGGGAAAAGACTTAAGTAGGAGTAAAACAGTGAAAATATACCAAAATAGAAGTTCCATGTTTTTATTCTCGAAATAAGAGTTAAAATGCATATACAATTCCAATCATGACTATACAGTACCAAAAAGTATTGCGAAATATCCCTATACAGGGACAATGCAAACTTTTATTTTGGGGATAAAAATGTGGAGCTCCTATTTTGGTACTTTCTCTATGTTTTACTCCTATTTAGGATGACTCCTCGTGGGTTTTATTTGGCATTGGATTCACTCTTATAATGTTTTTTGGGGGTTTAGATATTTGTTTTAATTAGTACCTAACTGGCTGAAATGAAGCGAAACGACATCTTTACATTTAGTTTTAGATATTTATAATGTTTTGTTAGGTTCAGTTTTATAATGTTTTGTTTATAATGTTTTGTTTTATAATGTTTTATAATGTTTTGTTTATAATGTTTTGTTAACTTCCACACTCCTATTTAGGTTCAGTTTTATAATGTTTTGTTTTCAGTTCATTTTTGTTACCACTTTTCTGAAAATAGGAACATGAAAATGTGTTTCAACATTAGTGTTTTTGTTTTCAAACTCTTCAAACAAAGATTTTTTTTTTGGGGAATTTTGGGAAATGAATGACCAAAATGTGTTTATGACTTGATGTTTATATAAAAATTGTACAGCATCTGTTTTCATAAGAAATAATGCTACCTCCACCCCAAAAATTAATTATTGTTATTAATAGTGAAACAAGCATTGCAAACATACTCTTTTTTCTGGGACGTCGCGAGTTTAAACTATATATACACAAGACCTACCACACATTCTTGTTTTAAAAATGATCAAAATCAAACCAAGCACAATTTCTTTTTTGAAACCATAAAACATGGCACCTTAGGGCTTGTTCGGGGAGGTTGCCACTTGCCAGTTTATAAAGTTTTTTGGCCTAACGATTGATGAACATTCTTATACTAATCATTTCAATTTTTAAAAACTGAATAGGGCATTACCAAATAAACCCAGAGAACATTTCAAATATATTTCTTGCTAATCTAGCAGAAATCTCATTAAGAGACTAATATACACAGCATTGTTTTATATTCTTCTAGGCATGATTATTTTGATGTAGAGCAAGCTGCCATTGCAAAAGAATGATGCCCTTTATCTTTGAGGCCACTCTGCCCCACAACTGTACTTCAGTTCAAGTGCCCTAATCTTTCCCCATCAACATATACATTTGGATTGGATTTTGTATGTTATGTATTTCATCATTACATTTAGTGCATAAAGGCTATTTTTCTTCCGAATGGCCATGTTTCGTCCGTGTTTCAGCAAAACCATATAAGGTGCCCTATCGAGAGTTTTTCTCGGTTCTGTACAGGCTCGATACTTAAGTTATTGTTATTTCAACATTTGTTTTCTCATTTTGATTCGATGCAACAATGCTTATACTCATATAGAGCATTTTTACCCAAGGGCAGTATTGGAACGACAGTAGTCGTTTTTACATTTCTTAATTTCTGTCTAGTCAAATGGGAAGTCTTTTCAAACATCCATCTGTTGAAACAACATTTTAAAAACTATTTTTGTGGTTATAATTCAATAATTTAAAAATCCATTTGTCCTAATGTAGTTATGTATTTTTTAAATACCTCAAATCTTTAGGAAAGATGGTAAAATATTCATCTGTCTAAAACTAAACATTTTTTTTGCATGTGGTCATCATATTTTTTATTTTTTAATTTTTTAAATAAATACATAAATTTTTTGTTTCTTTATTGCTGGAAACAATGTAGGCTATTTTGTACTCTTTCCCGACTTTCTGTCTTCATTTAAGTTGTCTATTATTCAAATAGTTAAACCTTAATCACATTTTTATCCATTTTCATGACTTATTTAATACGGAGTAAAATAGTAGTCTTATTATTTCTTGTTTTATATTAAAAAAATTTATTTACTTTTTAAATGTACTCTCTCTATCTCGGAATTATCTTCCAGATTGTTCTCTCCGTCAAAAGTTTCTAACTTTTACCATAAAATATGAAAAAAAATTAAGTTATGATATAAATTTTATATTAATGAATTCTTTTTACAATAAATTTTTAAAATTTCATATTTTATACGGAGTAATATAAAATTTTATATAAATAAAGAGATTAGAGGTCAATGTAGGAGTAAACTTTATTTTTTAATTCTATACTAATTTTTAAATAAATTGAATTGAAATAAATTCTCCTTGTGTCATTAGCACTTACCATTCCTAATAGAGAATGCTAAAGACACATAGAATTCTTACAAAGTTTACAAATTTTTTATATTTGTATTTAAGTTTTCACTTTTTTAGCATATAATATATTAAAATGTTTGTCTCACGTAGTAGAATATATTTTTGCACTAATTAATGGTCGAAAATCGTTAGTAGATCCATTAATAATTATACCCAAATTTGGTCCATTTAATGTTAATCAAATGCCAAAAATCCAGAGCTTAGTTAAGAAGAGGTAAATAAAACTCTGATCGTAGAGAATAAGATGTATCTCTAGTCCTAACAAAGATCTTTACGCAATGTATAAAACATCATGCGCTGCCTTTTCTAAGAGTTGAACCCGCCCATAATGTCATTCTACATCCTCATTGATCACTTGAGCTGCGTCTTCAAGTCTCACTTTATTGTTTTTAGAAAATGCTAGAGGCCGGGATATGGTGTTTGGCATGTAAAGAGTATGAATTTTGCCTTTTGAGCATGTTTAATGCTCTTAAAAGTTGAAATAAAGAAAAAAGGTTGTTTGCAATTAAAAATAATAGATTTTTAAAATAAAATGTGTACATTTGAAATTTATATACTCCAATATAAATTCTTTCAACATTTAGCCAATGCAAACACTTAGAGCTTGCATGTACTGGTGTCTGATGGTAGGGGGTGGGTACGGCCATTCGGGCAGCGCTGTCTGTCGTACCGTTGACTCTATCTATAGCTCCGAGCTCACTTCCACTCCATAGGGCCTTCCATTTCCGTCGAATGACCCGGCCTCCCCTGGCTCTTCCACCGTTGGGAGGTCTACCATAGGCTGGAATCGTCAATTTTTTAAACGGAGTATCTTAGAACTCCCGGGACCAAGCCCATCTAACACTGAACCCCTAAAGTTTTCTACAAATTTTACTCCACTCATGTCTTGTGTATCCCATTGTGTTAAAATACCCGTACCATTGTAAGTACAAAAATTAAAATTTATAATATTTTGTGGGCCCACAATATTTGAAATTACATGGTCGATTTAAGACAGAAGGGCATTTAGAAATATGAAGACAAGTTATCACATAGTATTACATAATTGCCCTTTTAGCCTTAAATCAATATTTAACTTTCATATGAGACCAACTTGTCCTAACTCGGCGGTCATTTTTAAAGCATAAAACTGGTTCTTATGAGACATACTTCTTATCAGGACGAAAGAAAAATATTGTGTAAATTCTCAAAGTGTTCATTTTTAATAAGGTGTTTTCTCAAATTAGTTTTTAATAATTACCAATTTGGTCCTTTGTAATTGAGATACATTTTCTAAATACAAAAATATCTTTTAAATGACAATTAAATAGAGAATATTTTTATATTTTCTATCATTTAAATTATGAAAACGTCTTCAAAATAGTCCTATCAAATTAAGTAGATGACTGCTAAAGGAACGAACCCACCTCGAGTAGGCTCATTGACCTCATTTCAAGAAAATTTTTACTTATAAATTATCAGATTAAAAGAATACTTAACTACTCCATATAAAAGAGTATTTTAAAAACATACTTTAAGTCTAGATGGTAGAAAATATTAAAATATTTTCTATTTGACTGACTTTTAATAAATATTTTTGGCAAAAGCCTATTAGGAAATACATCTCGATTAGAAAGGACCATGTTGGTAATTATTCTTTATTAAAGATTAATTTAGAAAAATACCTTATTAGAAAGGCCAGTTTTGAGAATTCACTCTTTATTAAAATAATATAATCATATTAGCTTTTGCATTATAGAGCTTTTGATATACTCCAAGGTATTTTTTAAATGGGAGATGCTAGGAGTATACCAAAGGTGTACCCCAAATGCACATCACATGCCTCTTTACTATTTATTTTTATTTATTTATTTTTTTGAAGTTTACATGCTAATTTTTGTGGTTATGGAGAGGGTAGGAGATATTTGGGGTACACCACTAGCATTTTCTTTTTTAAATATTCTCTCCGTCCCAAAAAAAATTATTTGACTTGACAGAAAGTTTTAAAAAAATAAAAAAAATGTAATTGAAGTGATGTAGAAGAGAGAAAAATTGTTAATCATTCAAAATTTTCTGAAAAAAGGAAAGAGGAGTTTTTATTTTTGGAACATCACAAATAGAAAATAAAGAGTTTTTTTAGGACGAAGTGAGTATATACATCACTTCTAAATTTGTGCTATTATTTAAATAAATTGAATGTAAAATTAAGTATACAACTTGGGAAGTATACAAGTTTGAAAAGAGGAAATTTTAACTATATATGAAACACTAATGAGATGATTTGTTTTAAAGCATCTTTTTTTACCGGGGTAACATTGTGTACATCTTGACCCTCAAAAGTCAAAACCCAACAATGGGTTTGAAATTATACCGGGTTTTGTTATTTTTCCGCTTCATTTTCACCATCCCGAAATAATCTGAACTTGAGAATCTTATGAAGCTGAGTTATCGGCCTTACTTGCTTACTTGGCGTTGGCGTAGGATCTGATACACATTTTCCTGATATAATGTTAGCTTCGGATGGGCTATTTTCTTCATGAACCATTGCAGAATCATCTGCAAAAGAGAGCTTTTATTTCAACAATTGATGAAAACTCACAGGTTCAGTAGACTTTACTCTGTATATAACAAATTTCAATCATAAGGCTCACCACTTTCACCAAACACAAGGCATGTCCCAATAGTGTCCACATATTCTCCAACCTGTGAAAAGAGAGAATAAAAAAAAAGGGAATTGCGCAATCAAAAATATACTCTGTAAAATATAATCCAACCGTGCTATATGACGAAGAGAATGAAGCTATAAAAAGGCAAGTAGAAGGGGCCGTATTATTGGGTTACACCCCTCAATTACGACTCTCCTTGGTTGGTAGGAGATCTTGAATTTGAGTTGCTAAAGTGGGGGAGGGGACGGGATTTTCCCCTACTAGAGATCAACAATCCCAAGGGACTAAGGACTTCAAGATTTACCTTATGTGGGGCTCTTGGGGGTGGGGTCTTAAGGGCTTTTGATTAGTACAATGAAGTCCGGGAGCCTTTTTTTTAATGCTATTGACTCTATTACAAGGTAGTATCTGTTCATACTATTCTCAACCTAATGACACACAAAGAGCTAATGTTTCGCCTCCGCTGGGGCTCGAACCTGAGTGAACTTCCCCATGAATCTTGGGGAGTGGGCTTCCTACCACTCAAGCCAGAGGAAAAGTTCCGAAGTCCGGGAGCCTAATGTATGAAAAAATGGAGCTATGTAATGCTGGCTAGTACTAACTCCTAAGTGGAACACATTACTATTTAAGCAAAACAGTATCATTTTGCAATCCTATGGAGACGAGATTGTTCAATATTGAAGGAATATATGGTGTATAACAACATAAAATTGTAAATGTTCAAAAACTTTTCCCTAGCACTACAGCAAACAGTCCAAAACAACTACAAATTTAGAGGAAAAAAACAAAATTGCTAATCAAAGAAACACATGATTGATCTAATTGTTAGAATCCCAGGACTCACCAGCTTAATTTTTCCATCAATGTTCAAAATGGGGTTCAACGTATCAAGGCCCTGCATCATTCATTAGCATACCAAGCATTTAGAAAAAACAAATACAATTGATACAGTGCATTTTTAGAAACGAGAAAAACAAGATTTTCATACCGAAAGAACATAGGGGGCGTTTGGGGGAATAGTAATTTGGTCCGCAACATTATCCAAATCCATCAATATGTACTCTTCTTCATCCAATTCATGATCATGCCTTTGCGTAATCTGTTCCATCACTCCTAATTATACCTAAAAGAAGCTCCAATTTACTGTCCTCTGTAAGGGGAAAACTCTACTCTTTAAAGAACCCTAAAAACTCATTGAAAAAATGTGATGACATTTTTTATTTAAATCAATGTTTCTACGCCAATTATTGTTGAACCTTGTTTCTTATTATCCCTTTCAATTTGATACTTTTGAAAATATATAGCTAGGGTGAGTAAGGGCCGATCCCACGGGAAAAGATACACTTTTTATTCATTACTTTTGTCCCTTATGAAACATCATTTGGAGATGTAGACATGAGATGCTTTTGCTTTTAACTTGTGTGTTTGCCTAAAGCAATACTTATAAATTACTTTAGTCATAAGTTAATCATTCCCAAACACCCTCTTCCATCATTTAAAAATAACTTATACTTAGAAAATAGATTTGTTAATAAACTAATAATACTCGTATAACTGGCTTCAATAAGTTGAGAATATATGAGTAGATACTAGCTTTTAGTAGAGTAAGTAGTGTTCAAAAAAAAATAATACTTGTATAACAGATTTGGAAGGGGAGGGGGGCTGTTTAAATATAAGTTTAAAAGATAAAATATAAAAATCTAAATATGCACATAGACACAACCACAAAAGTTAACCCAAGAACTCAAAGGAGGAAGAAACTAAAAAAAAACATACAAGCAATTTAGCTTTATGAGACTTAAACAATACTATGTAGTACTAAGACAATTTTGAAATCACATAGTTTTTATAGAAAATAAATTGATCAACAACTGATTCCTAAATTAACCATGCCAAAATTCCAAAACTAAACTGTTGATTAAACTTATGATTAAACTGAAAAACAGTTCAACCTACTTATTTTCCATCACATAATAGCCCATGTTAAGACTTGCCCTAACTCTAGACCCTATTATTCTTAAGAACTCAAGGGCCTGCCTCAAGTTTAACTAAAAATAGAGTATTAAGATCTTAAGAAAACACCACTTAAAAACTATACGGTAGACTATGACAATTTAACATACTCCGTTAGAGAACCCGTATTAATAAAAAATCAGTTGGGAGCCAATTATGTATTAATTTGATGACACCGGTATTTAGAAAATATTAGCTATGAACATACTTTAGAGTTTAAAACTGTCAATTTGAAATTGTATTAGGTGTGCACTCTTAATTGGTTCTAATACAAGCATAAATACAAACAATTTCAAACACCTTTTTGAATTTAAAATTAGCATAAAAACTAAAATCTCTTTGCATTTCAAACACCTTTTTGAATTTAAAATTAGCATAAAAACTAAAATTAGCACTATTGACTTTGTTACAATGTAGGTGTGTTCATGCATATTTCTCAACCCCTTGTTCTAGTTAGAGGCTGTTGTAGGGTATTTTCTTGTAGAAGTTGTATCACATTTCCTTGTAAAATGGTTTGCCCATACGTTCCAAGCTATTTACTTGGGAGCATTGAGTTTTGCTCACTTGCAATAATATTGGCATTTTCAGAATAATATGTCATGTTATTACTAGTGATAGTGTTGATTGTAATTGGCATTAAGTTCTGAGCTTCATAACTTTGTGAGCATTTATAAAATTTATATCTTTCCAAAATTTAGATGACATAGATACATGGGACAAGATTGATAAGAATATAGAAGAAAACGTGACACCAAAAATTGTTGGAAATGAACAGCTACCGAAATATGTAGAAGCTTAAAAATCTAATGAGCACAAAGTTAAATTGTACTTGACCAAGAAAGACATAGATGTGATGGAGTGGTCAAATGCCGAAGATGCTAATAAATTTTATCACATATACCAAATGTCATGGTTTAATGATTCGAAGACAATTTCGTCATGATGATAGTAATCAAATTAACATGAAAGAGTTTGTATGCAGCAAGGTAGGATTAAGGGATAAAAAACATTTAATGAGAAACGACGGGAAAAAGGAGCACATACCTCTCACACGCACTAATTGCAAAACAAATTTGCGAAATAAAAGACAAAATGGAAGGTCTCGTCGTTTCAAAAGTGTCATAATCGTCACCTGTGTAAGACAAATTTTGTTCTCTTATTGCCTTCATATTGTGGTTTTACTGATGCAGTCAAAGCTTAAGTTGTTGCACTCACAAGGTGTTAGAACTTGTCACATAATGGGTTATATGATGTACTTGAAAGGTGGGTACATAAGCGTGGGGTTCAATAAGAAAGATTTGTCTAATGATATTGAACGACAAAAACTCACTAAAATCAAATATGGAGATTTCTTAGGACAATAAGCTATCTTCAAGGAATTCATATGATGATGTCAAGTTTTATTTGAGATATAAACTTATCGGTGATGACAAATTGAGTCATCTATTTTGGATGGACAACACTAGCAAGAATGATTATCACTGCTTTGAGATGTTATTGCATTTGATAGCACATATAAGAACCAATATAACAATCCTTAAGTTATATTCTCGAGAAAAAAATCAGCATTCCCTAACTATAATTTTGGTTGTGTTATTGTTCTGATGAATCCGTTGAGTTATATAGGAGGGGTTGAATATTTTTCTTGATGCAATGTGTAATAAGCATCCAATAGAAAAGTAATGACGGATGGAGATTGTGCAATCAAAAAGCCGATCAAGAAAGTTTTTCCAAACTCATCTCAACGATTGTGTGCGTGGCACTTGTCAAAGAACACTTTAGATAATATTGAGAATTTATCATTTCTTGGGAATTTTAGAAGAGCAATCTATGGTAATTTTACGCTTAAATGTTATGTGCCAACATAGAGTGCCACTATACTCAAAAGGCTTGCAAGTACTTGCATACTTACATTGATCTTTGTGCAGAACAACTTCATGCTCACAGAGTCGCTCATTCGTTTTTTCAACCACAAATTACATTTTCGATATCTTCATCTCACTTAATGACATTCAATCTACCTGTAGTAAAATTCTATGATCTAAATCGCTTATAAACATTCCAAATGAATATCTTTGAAGCATGTTAATCTTTGGAAGAGAGGTGGTAAGAACGGGTTCTGTGTAAAGCGATGTAAAATCGGAATTCCGCTCATTGAATCTATAATCTCTCAATGCATGTTCAAAATTAGATAGTAGCTCAATAATTGTATTTTTCCTCCTCATATGTATCATTATCCCAAGATTGATGCCTTCACAAAGAGTAGTTCTTTGTCGTGCAAAAAGTTTATCATGTAAAAAAGCAATAGCCTAAATACGCTTCTTATAGACGTGTGACACCCAATTGTTTTATTTAAGTTGATGTTTAGAAGCCGTATTTTCCCAATACTCTTCAAAATATTCAAGCGTAAAATTAACACAGATCGCTCTTTTGAAGTCCCCGAAAAATGATAAATCTTCAATATCATCTAAAGCGCCGTTTGACAAGTGCCACACACAGCCGATGAGATGCATTTAGAAAAACTATCTTGATCGACTTCCTCATTGCACTATCTCCATCTGTCACTACTGCTATTGGATGCTTATTACACATTACGTCAAGAAAAATATTCAAACTTCACTTATATGACCTAACGAATACATCAACAACAATAGCACAACCAAAATCATACTTCAGGATTGTTGATTTTTTTTCTCAAGAACATAACCAAAGGTTTGTTATACTTGTTATTCTTATATGTGTTATCCAATGCAATAACATTTGAAAGCACTGATAATCATACCTACTTGTGTCGTCCGTCCCAAAAATAGATAACTCAATTTATCATCGATAACTTTGTATTTTGAATAAAACATACAAAGGGCTGAATCTTAGAGAATCGTGGCAGCAAGGCCACTCTACCGCTTACAATACCATGTTGCATATTTAAGTCATCTGCAAAAGATTCTACTCGCCGACATCATTATCTGCATTTCCTAGAACATAGGTTACTGTTCTAAAGAGATCTACATCTTTGATTTTAGCGACTTTTGTCGTCCAATATCATTAGACATATCTTTCTTATTGAACCCACACTTATATACCCACCTTTCAAATGCATCATATAACTCATCACGTGACAAGTTCTAACATCTTGTGAGTGCAATAAGTTAACTTGAGCTTTGTCTGCATCAGTTAAACCACAATATGAGGAACAAAATTCAGCTTACACAGTTGATGATTATCACACTCTTGAAACGTTGAGACCTTCCATTTTGACTTGTTTTTGTCTAGCTGTACACGCAACTTAGCTTTGCAATTCTTGCATGTGAGAGAATTGTACTCTCTTTTCTTGACGTTGCTCATCAAGTATTTTTTATCCCTTAATCCTACCTTGATTCATACAAAGTCTTTCATGTAATTTGATTACTATCATCATGACGAACATTGTCTTCAAATCATAAACCATGACATTTGACATATATGAAATAAAATTTATAAGCATCTTCGGCATTTAACCACTATATCATATCTAAATCTTTCTTGGTCAAGTCCAATATAAATTTGTTCTCATCAAAAAGCTTCTACATCATTTTGTACATGTTAATTTCTAACAACTTTTGGTGTCACGTTTTCATCCATATTGTTATCACTCTTGTCCCAACTATCCATGCCATCTTAAAAATCATCTACATATTGGGAAGAGAAAAAAATTTCATAAACACTCACAAAGTAATGGAGCTGAGAACTCAAGACTCAATGTGTCCATCATTAGCTTAAGTACCCTATACGTATTGTAAGGAGTGTTTCCATCAAACAAACTTCTAACAAAACTAATGGAGCAATCAAGTCAGCAATTGATTATAAAACTATTGCAAGATTAAAAAGTTTTGCACAAACAAAGACTCTGTGATGTGTTTCATGCAAGGGAATCTTACCTAAAGTGCCTTGTTGCATTCATCAACCAACTGAATCACCAGTTGTCACCGATTTAACACCTAACAAACAGTGAGAAATCTAGAAATGAGCCTCAATTGCTTGCAGGCAAGATTAACTTCCCATAACACCCCATCTTCGAAACTCCTTAGTCAAAAGAGCTTCGTAATATATACAAGATTCAAACAATTAGCTGGCATCAGAAAAACAAACAGTGAGAAATCTAGAAATGAGCCTCAATTGCTTGTAGGCAAGATTCGAACCTAAAGGGCCTTGTTGCATTCATCAGCCAACTGAATCACCAGTTCTCACCGATTTAACACCAGTGAGAAATCTAGAAATGAGCCTCAATTGCTTGCAGGCAAGATTAACTTCCCATAACACCCCATCTTCGAAACTCCTTAGTTCAAAGAGCTTCGTAATATATACAAGATTCGAACAATTAGCTGGCATCAGAAATTATACAAGAGCAAAATTTTACACAAAAAAAAAGATATTGTATTAAATTTTTTATAGAAAACCAAAGGCCAAATATTAATGCTACCAACTCCATTCATAGCTTAAAACTATACATAACACTTTCATGGTGTAAATCAAACCAACAACAAGCACTAGACATATCTGAAACACAAAAGTGACTCTTCAAAACACAACTATATTCAGTCACATAAAAGACATCACTTTTATTTTAGCTAATTGGAATGATCTATCTCAGTGTCAATGGAAAAATAGATAGAAGAGGAACCAGCTTAATTGGATCAAGGGAGAAACTTGAAGAGATGAGCACCGACCGAGGGTTTATACCCTGAGTCTGGAAAGGACAAATCTGGAGATGGCGGCAGAATTTCTCCGAATGATGAAGGCGAGATGATAGAAACAGGAAAAGGAAGAAAGGGGATTTGATTTTGTTGTGATGTCCTTGGGAATTATTGTATCTACCATAGTAATATACGGAAAAAGTATAATACGGAAATACGCATGTATTGATGTACATGTATAATACGTTAAAAATTTATAAAATACGTCTTACTATATGGTTCATACATACAAAATACGTAGACGCATACGTACGTGTATTAAATTTTTCCTCAATATAAAATACGCCTTATAATATGCACAAATTATTCACAACAAAATTAATAATAAAGTAAAAAAATATCAACAATCTTGCTTTAAACTGAAATAAATCCAAAAAAGTAAAGTACTTTCATACAGTCTTCATGTCAATAAAAAATAAAGTCTTAATTGAGCAAATGTTCGAAATGAAAAGTAGTACACAAGAAGGCCTATCATGTCTAGAGTGAGTCTATTCCTTTTCTTTTACCAAGTATACAATTATTCTCAGATCAATTCTTTTGCACAAATACTTCTCCATTACAAATTAATCATGGATAATCATAAAAAAGAGGCCAGGATCCATGTATATAATTTCAAATTTATGAGGATAATATTCAAATTAATTATTATTTTTTAAATTCAAAATAATCAATATCTTGAAATGGGGATAATTAATTATATCAATGAATATCTAGGCCAAAAAGTAGAGTAGAAGCTCACAAAGGCTGCAAGCCTGCCACAACCTCATCCTTTAAAGAACATCATCTTTGCCATTCTGATCTCAAGTGCCACTTAACAATAAATCTAAGCCGTTCTTCAATTGGCCGCTTTTATATTTTTTGGGGAGAGATCGCTTCTAACTATGCAATTGAGATTTGAAACTTCGTACTCAAAATCGAAGAAGAAACTAGATGATGAAAATCATGAAATTAGGTTTGGGACTTACGGCTAGTGGCTACTGCTGAGGCGCGGCACTGAATAATCCGTAGGAGACTTGCTGCTGGGCTGACTGATCCGTCGGCTACGAGTAAAATCAGACCCAAGAGGAAGACGAAGCTATAGCTGGAACTCTTGTCTGGGGCAGCGGAGGCGGCTCCTCCTGTGTGGACAGCGGCAATTGTCTATGAATCTGAGCCAGGGATTAGGCATCGAGTCTATAAATTGCAGGAGGTTGGAGGAATCAAATATAGATTTCAATTTTTTGCCAAAAAAAATGTAGATTTCAATTCCATTTAAAAATTGCATGTTCAATTTGCGATAAAAATAGCAGATAAAAAATGCAGAGAAACTGAAATTTAAAAAAAAACGGAAAAAAAGGAGAAGAGATAGGAGGAAGAAGGAGAGACGACATACCTTGTGTGATTAGAATCATATGGTGATGGAATGAAGAGAAAATTTGATGGTTTTGTTTATAGTGAAAAATCTGGGGAAAATCGAGGAACAAACGGAAAGAAGAATTGAAGGAAGGGTTTTGAAAGCGTCAGTGAGATATGGGCCAAATTGATCCGCCCGACCGCCCATATCTTTTTTGGGAATTTCAAAATCTCCCTATTTTATTTCTGAATTCTCTTTTTAGCTTATCAAATACTCTCTCTGTCCCATAAAGTGTTACTCATTTTGACTAAAGTTGAAATTAAGAGAAGGATAATTTTGTGTTTCTTTCCAAAATTACCCTTGATGTGATGGATAAAAGTAAGATGTGATGTGTAGATTATTAGAAAAAAAGTATGATGTGATAGATAGGGTTTGAAAAAGTAATGGCTAAAAGTGGTTTTTTATTAGAAATGGGTAAGGGATTGTGAAACGCAATTTTTTTAAAACGTGTAAATCTTTTTAGGACGGAGGGAGTACTACGTATTTATTTTGGTAATACCCGTGAAGCCTTAGAGCTTTAAAACTTTTCTCTGACTTATCAACTATAACGTGTCTCATAGTTTCCACTAGAAACAAATTTGAAGTTTGGAAGCTTCATACTGAGTATTCAAATATTTGCACTCCAAATATGTTAATTGACACTCCGCATTTTTCAATCTATTTTCAATTTGACACTTATGCCCTTGTCATTTGTTTTTTCTCACTCCAATATTAGTACTCTATATTGACAATAGCTACTAGCTCAATAATTTCAGAAAGCAGAATGTTGCATTTGTAACTAAAGCACGGGCATCAACTTCTTTCTGTTAGATTATAACAATATTTTGTAGCTTACAACCACATGTTAGAGCTTTGGTTGGATCAGATTTCTAACATAATATCATAGAAGAAATCATGCTAAATATAAATAAAACATAGAGAAAGTATCAAAATAAGAGTTTTATGCTTTTATTTTTAAAATAGATAATACAGTATATGAATATTTACACTACTTTTTGGTATTATATATTGACATAATTGACATAGCATATGTATTTTAACTCCTATTTTTGGATTAAAACTATGAAACTTCTATTTTAGTACTCCCTCCGTTTCTTAAAACCATTTATCTTTCATTTTTTTTCTTAAAACACTTCCCCTTTCTATTAAAAAACCATTTTTACCCCTACTTTTTTCATACCTCACCTATCACATCATACTTTTTCACTAACAACTAAATTATCACATCTTACTTTTACCCATCACATCAAGGGCAAAATTGAAAAGTCAACTACAATTTAACACTTTCTTATTTTTCCCCAAAGTCAAAAGAGAAACTCTTTTAAGAAACTGAGGTAGTATATTTTATATAATTTACTCTTACTTTAATCATTTTCATATATCATAGTCTTAACACTTAGATGTGTTAATTATTCTTAAAAGACAATTGGAACAACCCACCAAATATCCTAGTACTACCTCCATCTAAAATTGAATTTCTAATTACTTCCTCCCTCCCACTATATTTGTCCACTTTCATCTTTGCACACCATCCAATACACTTTTTTAATCCATTTTATCTTGTAATTTGTATATTAAAAAAATATAAAAATTATATATTAATAATATATATGTTAAGACAAATCAAACAAGATCACGCATGACTATATTTAGGCTTACACATTGAGAGAATTTGATGAGTCAAAGTGATTAGATGAACAATTCCAAAAGTCAAAAGTGGACGAATATAGCGGGACGGAGGAAGTACTATTCGGTATTTCAGGAGTTAAACGCTATCTACTTTGTTTACTTATTTAAACTACTCGTATCATTTTTAAAATATAAAATTGTCATGTCACATCTTGTTTTGTAAGCTTTTCATTATTTTTTAAAAAACAAAACTTATTTTTAATTTGGGTTAATTGTGTTTTTGGTCCTTGTAAAATTAGAGAATTTTGTTTTTGGTCCCTCCAATTTTTTTTACCAATTCGTCCTTATAAAATAATTATTTTTGCAAAAGTTGTCCTCCCCCAAGTTAAATATTTGTTTTGATCCTTGTAAAATTTATAAACTTTACTTTTACTCCCTTTAAAATTCTTTTTGTTGGTTCAATTCTATTTTTAAATTATTCAATAATCATTCACGATTATCTTTTTTTATTAAGTATTTATATAATTACAAGGTCAAACTCAATGAATTATTTTTAAATACTTAATTGAATAACTACATTTTAACAAATTCATTTAAAAATTTGCTAAATTAGTACTACTTTAGTTTTTAGGAAAAAAACTATTGATAAATTAACACAGAATTTATTTTCATTGTAATTTTTAGTATAATTTGTGAAATTCATTATCTTTTAGCGAAATTCTTACACTCACCATCTCAGATGATTTTTTCAATTTTTAGGGTGACTATTTAATTATGCAATGAGAGTAAATAAATTTATTAAAAATGACCTTGTTATTAATTTAGTTAAAGAGTTTTTATTTAAAAAATTACTTTAAAAAATTTTAAATAAATATTCAGTAGCATAGTTATTCGACTAAGCTATGAAAAATATTTCAATAACTTTGACATTGTAATTAAGCTTATCTTGACAAAAAAAAGTTATTATTGTACAAACTATCACGTAGTAAATAATTTTAAAAAGAGTAGAAAGAATGTACAAAATACTTGAGAAGAACTAAAAACAAAATTTATAACTTTTACAAGGATCAAAATATATATTTAAATTAGCAGAGGACTAATTACAAAAATAATGAATTGGAATTTACAGAGACGATTTAATTTTTAAAAATATTTTGGAGGGACCAAAAGTAAAGTGTATCAATTTTACAGAGACCAAAAATGTAATTAATACTTTTAAATTTTGCACGTACAATAAAAATAAGTTGAATAGCAAGTAAAGCCAATCAACCATCATAATCTGCATTGGGTAATTCAAATTGAGATCGATTGAGTATTTCAAAAAGCACTACTATTAGAAAGCCAAAAAAATAAATGAAAAGGGTATTGGTGTCAATTTAAAAAGAGATAGAAAAGTGTGGAGTGCCATTAACATATTTAGAGTGTAGATATCAATTGCCTTTTTTTAGTAGAGGTATAATTGTTACTCCCTTCGTCATATATCTTTCTTCCCGTTGCGCAAAACGAAGAAAAATCCCAAATTTTTTCAATCTATTTTAATTAAATATTTTTATAGAAATAAAAAATAAAACATACATATTTAAAAACTACTTCCTCCGTTTGCAAAAAGACTTCTCATTTTGATTTGAGGCAAAAATAAGAAAGTGTTAAATTATAGTTGATTTCCAATTTTGCCCCTGATGTGATGGGCAAAAGTAAGATGTGATGGATAGATTATTAGAGAAAAAGTATGATGTGATAGGTAGGGTATGAAAAAGTAAGGGTAAAAGTAGTTTTTTAATAGAAAAGGAAAGTATTTTGTTGGCAGTGGAAAAATGAAAGAAGAAGTATTTTTGAGAACAGAGGGAGTACATCAAAAGTTCAACAAAACAAGGGGTGACAAAAATATTTTATTTTATCATATAGGCCATGAAAAAACACAAATAAATATAAATTTCCGTGAAGTTAGAATAGTGCTCTGGGAAGAAAGTTTTAGGACGGAGGGAGTATTTTTTATAAGAAAATGGGTTAGTAAATTTTTTATAGATTTTTTCATATGAAAATTTTGTATTTTTTTATATTAAAAAAATAGATACTTATTTAATTAGTAAGTCTATTGTAGATCTTAGACCCACCACAGAATTTGTCTCCCTTAAAAAGAGATTTCTTGCAAGAAACACAAATTTCCAAATCTGGTTGCCCCAGCCTTTTCCATTTATGTGGGAAGAAACCCTCTAATATATTGCGGTAATGAACAAGACTTCTTTTTTGTTATGATCCCTCTAAAAAAGGTTTAGTTTTTGGCAAGACGTGTGATGTTTTAACTAAATAAATTGTTTTTGGGGAACAGCTTTAGAAATTAACGTTAGCATTTTTAAAAAGTTATCTACGGACATCGTTTAGCGTTAGCGTTTTCAAAGTAATATGCACCGTTGAATTTTTTTCCAAAACGCCAACGCTAATCTCTAATGTTATTCCCAAACGCTAATCAGACCAATTGATTTACCCATTCATTATTACTCTATCGAGTTGGGATGTGAGGGCGCCCGAATTGGGCGTTCCACTTATTTATGTAATCTAAAGTCGAGAGTTTTGGGAAAATAGAGTATGAATAGTTTAGAGTAAATTTCATAAAGAATCCTTTATACTACTCTCTTCGTTTCTTAAAACTCTTCCTCTTTCATTTTTTAATTTTTTCTTAAAACACTTCCCTTTTCTATTAAAAAACCACTTTTACCCCTACTTTTTCATATCCTACCTATCACATCATACTTTTTCACTAACAACTAAACTATCACATCTTACTTTTACTCATCACATCAAGGGCAAAAATTGGAAAGTCAACTACAATTTAACACTTCCTTATTTTTCTCCAAAGTCAAAAGAAGAAAAAAATATTCCCCGAAAACTATTCCATAGTCATTAATTTAGAGACTATATGTGAAAAAAATATTTAGTCATATTTGCTCTAAGAAACTAATTGCAGAAAAGTTTTTAAAAATTGAGGATCATGAATATAGGCAATATGTTAAAATTTGTGGATTAAATATAAAAAATTATCTACCATACAAAGATGAAATTTACTGAATAATTTAAAAAAGAGAAATTATATTGTTGAATAAAAAAAACTCTGGCTAGCTAGGAAATGTCCTTTCATATCTTCCGCCATAGCTCGTTGACAAGAAAACACTGAAAAACTGAAATGATAGATGTCTTGTAGCTCTCACTCCCATAGTCCCATTCAATTTCCCCTTTCTTTAAAACAAGAAACCCTAAAGCAACCAAAGAGTAAAAGAGGGCAAAGTGATATAGATGAAGTAAAAGCACACTAATTAGACTCTTTTAGTTTTTTGACTGCAAAAATATATTTTTAATTATAGTGTAAATTTAATACAAATAGATTTTTTAAAATGTACCCCGTATTTTTGACACAGGAAGTAGTATTATATACTTCTCCGGTTCTAAAAACATGAGAATAATTGATTTTAAATAGATTTAAGAGAAGCGTATTTTGGTATTGAATTTCCAAAAAAGTTTTTTGACGTGATGGGTAAAAATAGGATTTGATGGGTAAATTATTAGTAAAAAGATATGATGTGACAGGTAGAGTATGGAAAAATAAGGAGTAAAAGTAATGACCTTTTAATAGAAATAAAAAGTGTTTTTGGGACGGATAAAAAAACAAATGAGAAAGGTTTTCAGGGACGGAAGGAGTATATAATTTGTAGAACATTTATTTATTCAAATAGGGATCAAGACCAAAGTAGAAATAAAATATTAAAAATATACTAAAATAGGAGTGTTCCATTTTTTTAATTTTTGAAATAGGAGTTAAAATGATCATATACATTACCAAAAAAGATTGTGAAATATCCCTATACAGTGTCTGAGACTCTGAGTGTCACATTACCCTAGCGCAAATTTCTATTCTTGGATATTCATAGAAACATAGAGCTGCTATGTTAATATTTTCTCTATGTTTTACTATTATTTAGGCTCTCTTCTTTTAAGTTGAAAAAGTTAACTTTCAATTTCTTCCAACTCTTTTCAATTTTTCCCAACAACTTAAAAAATATATTTATATATGATGAATATACAATAGCAGTATATATCCAAATTTTTAACATATAATCTCAAACGCAAGCAATGAAGAATTCTTTTTTATCCAAAATTAAAGTTTTTTAAATATTTTTTTGGGTGACCATTTAAATGAATAACTTTTTACTCTCTTCGTCCTAATTTATAGTGCATGTTTCGGTTTACAATGTTTGATTGAAATTATTTTCAAATTATTTTATATGACAAATGGTATAGAGTTAAAAAATAAAAACTAAATTTTAAAATACAAACCAAAAGATCTATAAAACTAGTAGTGACAATAATATTTTATTTTATCAAATTGCTAATGAAAATAGATAAATAAAATGAATAAATTAGTTTGATCCTGTGAATAGTGAACATGCATTATAATTTGGGACGGAGACAGTAATTCTTAAATTTTTCTTACCTTTTCCAACTCTTTTCAATTTCTTACAACATCTAACTCTAAAATTCCAATATAAAAGAACATAGCCTTAGGATAATTTTTTTTAATCAGCCCAAGAAATTGTGGGTAAAGTTATTAGTGGTAAAATAGTATCCCAGATCTTTACGTGGGAGCACAAAAATTTAGGGCAAAATTGTCCAAATAGTTTCAAAACAATTTGCTTTAAAAAAAGTTCAAAACAATTTCCACAAATGGAGGGTGGAAAGAATACAATAATGTCAATAAGATAGTCCAAAAATCAAAAATTAAGGAGCTCTCCCTATAATAAAATTAATTACTTCTACATTTCAATTGAATAAAATTTAAGAAAAATGTTAAAAAATACTCCCTCCGTCTCATGAAACATGAGATTTTTGCTTTTTAGGAGAGATTAAAGGGGAGTGTATTTTAGTATTGAATTTTCAAAAATGTCTTTTGATGTGATGGGTAAAAGTATGATTGTACTTGAATATAATCCACTGTTTTTTCATAAGTATATGTGATCAATTTACAATTGTGAAATAATTGTGTATAAATATTTTATTTTTTTAGAGCGCCGATGATAGTTAACTAGTTTTGAAGTATTTGCACAAACTATCAAATTTAGAGTGTTAGAATGAAACTTCGTCTAAAAAGTTAAAAAAAGACAATTAACCCATATACTCCATAATACTCCGACACAGATTACTTTTGTTTTTCCCTGCGTTTTCATTGGTCATTAAATAAAATAAAATATTTTTGTCGCATCTTTTTTAATGTTGTAGAACTTTAAATACTCCATATAATTTTAAAAAAATGTGATTTGTACTTTTTATTTATATCCCAATTGATAATTAAAAACATTTTAAGCATGACTCTCGGTAGGTTTGCTTTTTTGTAGTTTTCTATTGCCTTTAAGGGATTTTACCTAAATAGGGAGTAATACTCACGCATAGTGATTTTTCGTATGCAGTACCATGTGTTATTATTTCTCAATGTCGTACCACTAGTCATTGTTCACTGATCATTGTTTAAGTAAATGTCCATCGCCACATTATTCAAGTAGTATTTAGGAATAAAAAACGTTTAATTAGTACAATTCTCTTGCCTTCATAACCAATTTGCTTTATATACATTACACCCTCATCTTCTAGCTCCAAACTAGAAACCATTGTACTCATCATCACCACTTCCAAATAACTTTCCAAAACCAACCTTTTAAGAACCTCCAAAATGGAACCTTTCCACTCCCCAACTGGAAATCCCTATCCATACTATGGCCTTCCCACCACAGTGATGATGAGCTTCTGTAGGACACCCACAAGTCCCATTCCCAGCCCTTGTAAGGCAATGGACCCTAGAATCTGGGGCAGCCTCCCCCACAAGCTCATTGATAGGGTACTCGTCTTCCTCCCGCCGCCGGCCTTCTTCCGGTCGCGGTCCGTCTGCAAGAGATGGTATTCCCTCCTCTTCTCCTCCAAGTTTCTTGAAATGTATTTGCAGGTTTCCCCAGACTGCCATTGGTTCGTGTTCTTCAAGCACAAGGGCTTGAAGCCCTACATTTGTAGGGGTGGTGCCAATGATGAGTTGTCCGAGGGGTCGGGATCGAGGTCGAGAGAGACGCCGTATGAAGGGTACTTGTTTGACCCTCGCTCGTTGACATGGTACCGCCTTTCGTTCCCTTCGATCCCGAGGGGGTTTTCTCCTGTCACGTTGTCCGGGGGCCTAATCGGATGGGTCTCGGACGATGCGGGCCCGAAGAACATTCTTTTATCCAATCCTCTCGTGGGGTCGTCGGTGGTCCCCATCGCCCCCACTCTGAGGCCGAGGCTCTTCCCCAGCATCGGGTCCCACATCACCAGGTCTATAGCAGGGGACGACCTGACGTCCCAGTACGCGGTCAAGAACCTGGCGACGGAGAGCTTCCACGTCGACGCCGGCGGGTCCTACTCCATATGGGGCACCGCCGCCCCGCTCCCGAGGCTCTGCAGCTTCGAGCCGGCGGGGACCACGGTGTACGCCGGGGGGAGGTTCTACTGCATGAACTCCAGCCCCTTCGGCGTGCTCTCGTACGACATTTCGCCGAACACCTGGTGCAATATCCAAGCCCCGATGAGGCGGTTTCTGCGGTCCCCGAACTTGGTGGCGGCGGGCGGGGGCGGCCGGAAGCAGCTGATCATGATGGTGGCGGCGGTGGAGAAGAGGAAGCTGAGCGTGCCGAGGAGCCTGAGGGTGTGGGCCCTACGGGAGTGCGGGACCACGTGGGCGGAGACCGAGAAAATGCCGCAAGATCTGTACATTCAGTTCGCGGAAATGGAGGGCGGGAAGGGGTTCCACTGCGTGGGCCACGGGGACTTCGTGGTGATAACGGCGAAGAACTCGGCGGCGGCGGTGATGTTTGACTTGCACGCCAAGAAGTGGGCGTGGGTCCCTCCTTGCCCGTTTGTTCGGCAAGATTTGCCGCCGTGTGGCGGCTGCGGAGAGCTGCGTGGGTTTGCTTACGAGCCGAGACTGGCGACGCCGGTAACCGCACTGCTTGCTCACTTGACACTCCCGTTTTGAGTGTGTAATACTCTGTTGCTTACTTTTGGGGATTTGATTAATTATTACTACTCCATATAAGGGTTTTATTATTATTATTATTATTATTACTATTATTATTATTATTATTATTAAGCGTTTATAATTTCTTTTGACTATTTGGACTATGGAGTTTGAATAATGATTTTAATTAATCTCATTCAAATACTCCGTATGTTTTAAACTGATCTGAATATAATTATATTTAAAATTGTATCCGATCTAATCTGATCTGAGTTGTACTGATTTCAATTAGCTTGAAAAAATAATAAGTAATAAGAATATGTTAAAGATAACATGACCTACTTCAAATGTTTCACTGTCTTTGTTTGGAAAAGTAGTTCTGATTTTTTGACACATTTGAGTTGAGTATATAATTTATAGTTAGCTTTTTAATTATGTCTTTGATTTAATGTATAAAAGTTAATTAAGTAGAGTGTGGCAGATAGATTAATAATTAAGAGATATAATGTGATAGGTTATGTAAGAGTTAGTATTAGTAAAATAGACCTTTTTAGACAATGTAAAATAGACTTTTTAATTGAAATTGAACGTGTTTTATGAGAAGAGTGAAAAATGATAGTGAAAATGTTTTCTAGAATGGATGGAAATCAAATGGTGATATACCTATTTTGTTTAATGATGCGACATATCTATTTTATTTTATTAAATGATCAACGAAAACACATAAAATTAAAAATTATTGAAAATCTCAAATAGTAAGGATGACGATAAAGAGAGTGGGCCTGTTTGGGAATAGCGTTAGATATTAGCGTTAGCGTTTTGGATAAGATTTTAACAGTGCAGATTACTTTGAAAACGCTAACGCTAAACGCTGGCCGTAGATAGCCTTTTCAAAACGCTAACGCTAATCTCTAACGCTATTCCCAAACAGGCCCAGTATTATTTTATTATATCCTTATGGTGTTGTTTGAAAGTAAATGTATTACTCCATACTTATATAAATAAATCCACGCCCCCATATTGTTCGTGAATTGACAACCTTAATACTCTTTCGGTCTCTAAATATTTGTCACACTTGTATTTCAGAGGTAAAATATCAAGTTCAATTCATTTTATTTACATAGTGATATAGAAATAAAAAATAAAATTTACATATGAAAAAAACTACATGAAAAGTTCTTCGAAATAAGAGATATCAAGAATATTTTATTTTATCAAATAAATAATGAAAACGTAGAAATAAACAAAAGTTCTCGCGACTGCCCAAAAAACAAGTGTGGTAAATATTTTGGAACGGAGGGAGTATTAATCACAAACTATAAAAAACATTGAATTTTGAGAAAATTAAATTTAACATCATTAGATCTCTTTTGAAACATAAATTTGAAATATCCTATTTTTTATAATAAACATATACTCCGTATGAGATACTAGAGCACCCACATTGGGTGGTGGAGTAAAGGGAGGACTACTCCTCCCTCCCTCTTCCACATCAGATTTTGTGAACTCAGGATATATACAACTCCTTCATTTACTTCTCCTTATCTTTTACATCAAAAGGACTACTAAAATACTAATCATTATACCCCTTAAATGATTTTTAATTAAATATTTATATTATGTACAATTATATGAATTTACAAATTAATAAAAAATATAATTGTACTTCATTTTTTATGGTTTTGATAATAAAATTGTAATTCATTAAAAAAGTTGATATTTCACATCATACTTATTTTTTTGACTAAGACAATACCCATGTGAAATTTTAAACTTTTTTGTAATAAATTTCACATCATAATTTTGCAAAAAGAAAAATATTTAATTATGGCAAATATTTATAAGAAAAATAAAGAAAGAGTAGGTGTTTAAAAAGAAAGAAAGAAATGTGTACAGTGTAAATGTGTACGTGTTTTCTCAAAAAAAAAAAAAAAAAAGTGTGTCCGTCCAAATGGCAAAATGGGGTTTCTTCCAATTTTTCTTCTTCTCCGCGGATCAGTTCATCTCCGTCCGTGTCTTGAAATTTGAGCCGGAGAAGGACGTCTCCATCTACCAGTCCATCTGATGCGGGTAGTCCTCCTGGAGCACTCTTGTTCTCCGCTTTACTCGTCCGTCCAATGCGGAAGCCCTTGACGATCATATCAAAATGAAAGAAAATGCATAAGTGACTAAAGGAATACTCACTCCGTTCCCTTCCAACAAAACACTTCCCCTTTCTATTAAAAAATCACTTTTATCCTTACTTTTTCATACCCTACCTATCACATCATACTTTTTCTCTAATAATCTATCCATCACATTTTACTTTTATCCATCACATCAGGGGTAAAATTGGAAATCAACTACTCCCTCCGTCCCAAAAAGATTTACACCTTTCAAAAAAATTACGTCCCACAATCTCCTACCCATGTCTATTAAAAAAACACTTTTACCCCTTACTTTTTCAAACCCTACCTATCACATCATACCTTTTTCCTAATAATCTACACATCGCATCCTACTTTTATCCATCACATTAAGGGTATTTTTGGAAAGTCAACACAAAATTATCTCTCCCTTAATTTCAACTTTAGTCAAAACGTGTAAATCTTTTTGGAACGGAGGTAGTATAATTTAACACTTCCTTATTTTTGCCCCCAAATCAAATGGGAAGAATTTTTCCAAACGGAGGGAGTACTATGTTTTCAAATGAACTGCTTTAGGGCATTTACTTACTAGGCTTAGCTTGGAAAAGAGTCGACACATCGGGACTCGGGGCAGGGTGCGCGGCGGATTGCATAAGGGTAGTCGAACCGGAAATCGTCAGGCGCAGGAGTGTCCCGATCCTGCGGCGCGAGCGAGGACACGCAGCACCGTCCCTTGCACCGCCTTGTCACACCGCTTCAGTTGACTTTCTTTTCACTTTATTGTTTTTTGAGATTTCAATTTTTTAAATTTTCCAAGTCTATAAATTCACCACATCAACTTCAATTCACCCCTGTGATCTCATCTTACTCAATTTACTCACTCTCTCATATCAACTTCTGAATATGAACCCGACAGTGACTACTTCCCCTTCTAGTAATTCGATATTGATGAAGTCATCCGATATGTATACTCCGTTCACTTTCAAGCTAATGTGTCGCGGGGGGGGGGGGGGGGGGGGNGGGCATTTTGGACAAGTACATGCAATAGTCAACTCATCTTAAATATGAGAAAATGTCAAAATGAGAACATTAATGCGAGACGGAGGGAGTAAATAACTTAATTAAAATATAATTAAGTAACTTTATTATTCGTTCTTATTGAAATTATGATTGAGATCAAATCAAATTAGAAATAACTTAATTAAAATATAATGCAATCAGATGATATCAAACTAGTTACTATCTCCATCTATGCGTATTTTTCTAGTTTTGATTTTTTTGGTTAATTGTTTTTAACCTTTGGCATATAATTAAATAAAATATATATTGTATATTAATTAGATAATATAATATTTTAAAAATATTATATATAATAAATCTAATAAAAATATTTTTGTATCAAAATCTAATATCAATTTTATTTAATTTGAGATCAAACTTTATAAATTTTGACTGAAAAAATAGACAAATACTCAAAAATAAAGGGAGTAAATCTTAATAAAATCTGATCAGATTTAAATAGATCATACGAAAATAGCAAGCTATAAATTAAAGAAGACAAACTCTCAATCGTTAGTGTCTCATTTTTCAAATCTTATTATTACATATCACAAAATTGTGGTACCAAATACTCCGTATCTCCTTATACATTTTTGTTTAGAAATAGTGTTGCGTATTCTACAAAACCCATATTTACTTTTAGGAAATGTTAAAACACGTGTGTTTAAAATAAATTCCAAAAAACTATTTATTTCTAAAGAACATTTATTTAAAGAGCAAATTCTATAAATTTCAGAAAAATAATTCTAGAAATTTGATCTCGACTCGTGGGAAAAAGTGATTGGAGTTATCAAAACTTGCATATATTTCTCTAAATATCAAAATCCTTTTTATAGTTATAGTATTTGGCAAAACATAAACAGATATATCACAAATTACCCAAATGAAAAATTTTGGTATATCTTGAATTCTGGATAGTGTTATCCGTATAAAAATTTGATATTTCTTTTAATTGTTGTCCATCCACCACCGGCTAATACTCTTACTTCCAAGTTCCAACGATTGGCCACCCCACCTACTCGTATTAATAAAACTACTGCTCCTGTTGTCTTAAGAAAGATATCACTTTGTGAACAATATGTAAAACTCATCATTTTTAAAACCATTTTAATTATAAATTAGTATAAAAATAAAAAATATAACGTATACCATTTAGAAAATATAAAAAAAATTGAGTAAACTCTATAAAAGGTCCTTAGTTATAAGTCGTTTTACATATTTAGTCCATACATATCAAATATTACTAATTTAGTCCCCAATTATTACATTCATTTCCACAAATGGTCCTTTGTTAAGCTTCCTCCCTCCTCCCGCATTCCTTTCCCAAACCCGTCGCTAAGTTTGAAATTTTGAACCCAAAACCGAAATCATCACTCTTCTCTCAATTGTTTGTCTAATTGGTGGAACCCAAATTCGAAATCAGTAATCTTCATGGATGAGTTTTAATGTTTATTTTCTTTGCAATTTCTTGAAACTAACGGATAAAACTCACCCATAAAGCTTATTGGTTTTGATTTTAGGTTCCACTAGGAAGACTAATAATTGAGAGAGTAATGATCATTTAATTTTGGGTTTAGAGCTTCAAGAGTACAAGAGGAGGGAGGAAGCTTAATTGAGGAGAGAGAGAGAAGTATGAATATATAATTTTATCCATGTTCTTAACAAAAACGTTAACAAATGACCATTTGTGAAAAATGATATAATAATTAGGGACTAAATTAGTAATATTTAATATGCAGGGACTAAATATGTAAAACGACCTATAATTGAGGACCTTTTATGGAATTTACTCTTTCCTTTTTTATGATTAATTTATTTAATTTTTGTTGAAAAATTACATTTATTTCATTTACATAATTTTCAATAATTTAAAAAGTCCACTTTTTTTCAATATAAAATATATTATTATAACTCATCATATTTTAAAGGTTATCATAAATAAATTTTCATAAATGATGAATGAGAATTTAAAGCATGTCATGTAATTTATTCATTTGTCATATCATTTAAAAATTGTTTTGTAAGATGACACATGTCAACTTCTTGAAGACATGAGTCTCAAATATTTTAGTAAAGAATTACGTGGCGCTGACATGTTAAAATTTCGCCAAATAAACATACCAAATGTCGAATTCTTGTGAATCAGAGTCTCCTTTATTATAGTAAATGATTACAAACGTAGAAATCACTCTAAATAGGACTAAAACATAGAGAAAAGTACTAAAATAGGACTTTCATGTTTTTTTCCCCCGAAATAAGACTTTGCACTGTAGTAATGTGATAGTATACATGTGTACATTACTATACATTTTTGGTAATGTATATGGCCATGTTTGGTAATGTAAGTCCTATTTTGGGAATAAAAACATGCAAGTCCTATTTTGGTATATTTTCAACATTCTGCTTAAATTATTGAGCTAGTGCCTATTGTCAACAGAGAGCACTAATATTGGAGTGAGAAAAAACAAATGACAAGGGTATAAGTGTCAAATTGAAAATAGATTGAAAAATGTGGAGTGTCATTAACATATTTGGAGTGCAAATATTTGAATCCTCATATTGAAGTTTTGGGACTCCAGTGAAACTATGAGACAAATTAAAGTTGACATGGGAAAAGTTTTAAAGTTTCGAAGCTTCACAAGTATTAGCAATGCTCTTAGATATAAAATTACCAAAATAAATATTTAGTAAGCTAAAAAGGCAATTCAGAATTAAAATAGGGAGATTTTGAAATTCCCAAAAAAAGAAAAAAACAATTCAACTCCATGGCGGATCGATTTGGCCCATAAGGGCACTGACCCTTTCAAAACCCTTCGATTCTTCTTCCTGTTTGTTGTTCGCTTTGCCCCAGATTTTTCATTAGAATCAAAACCATCAAATTTTCTCTTCATTCCATCACCATATGATTTTGGTCACACAAGGTATGTCTTCTCTCCTTCATTCTCCCATCTCTTCTCCTTTTTTCGGTTTTTTTTTTTTTAATTTCAGTTTCTCTGCATTTTTTATCTGCTATTTTAATTGCAAATTGAACATCCAATTTTTAATTGGAATTGAAATCTACATTTTTTTGGCAAAAAATTGAAATCTATATTTGATTCCTCCAACCTTCTGCAATTTATAGACTCGATGCCTAATCCCTGCTCAGACTCATAAACAATTGCCGCTGTCCACACAGGAGGAGCCGCCGCTGCTGCCGCAGGCAAGAGTTCCAGCTATCAATTCGTCTTCCTCTCCGGTCTGATTTTAGTCGTCGCCGGCTGATCAGTCAGTGCAGCAGCAAGTTTTCCACGGATTATTCAGTGCAGCGCCTCAGCAGTAGCCACTAGCCGTAAGTCCCAAACCTATCTATTTTTCCATTAACACTGAGATAGATCATTCCAATTAGCTAAAATAAAAGTGATGTCTTTTATGCGACTGAATATAGTTGTGTTTTAAAGAGTCACTTTTGTGTTTCAGATATGTCTAGTGCTTGTTGTTGGTTTGATTTACACCATGAAAGTGTTATGTATAGTTTAAAGCTATGAATGGAGTTGGTAGCATTTATATCTGGCCTTCGGTTTTCGATAAAAAAATCATTTAATATCTTTTTTACTCTTGTATAATTTCTGATGCCAGCTAATTGTTCGAATCTTGTATATATTACGAAGCTCTTTTGACTAAGGAGTTTTGAAGATGGGGTGTTATGGGAAGTTAATCTTGCCTGCAATCAATTGAGGCTCATTTCTAGATTTCTCACTGTTTGTTAGGTGTTGAATCGGTGAGAACTGGTGATTCAGTTGGTACATCAGCTCATAATGTTGCTTGATGAATGCAACCAGGCACTCTAGGTTAGATTCCCTTGCATGAAACACAGTACGGAGTCTTTGTTTATGCAAAACTTTTTAATCTTGCAATATTTTTATAATCAATTGCTGACTTGACTGCTCCATTAGTTTTGTTAGATGTTTGTTTGATGGAAACACTCACAATAAGTATAGGGTACAAAGAATATTTTTAATTTTCCAAATGATCCCAAAACATACAAACAAAACAAATTAGCAGTAGTTAAATGGCATCGGGAGGGCGAAGAATGGAACCCGGACGGCCAAAGACTTTCTAACTGCGACGAGGCTGCAAATCTCCGGCTGGGTGCGATGAAGTGAGTAGGCGCGATTTAGATTTTAGAATTGAAAACAGGTAATCGAATGTTTATTCTTTATGATATACTTCGTAGTTTTTTATTTGCAAGTTTTGAATGGTTGTTTTTAAAATCAAACTTTTGATTTTAAGATTTCAGGTTTGTTGCTTTTAAATCACGGTTTTTTCTTCAACTTTTAAGGTTAATTTTAGTGGTAATTATAAGTTTAAGGAAATAAATTTGGGGTTTAGTGGTTTTAATGTTCGTGCTAATTTTTTGTATTGAGCTTAGGAGTAGGGTTGTGAAACGAACAAATAATTTTGATTCGATTCGTGATTCATATTCGAAATCAATTATTCGTATTTGAAAAACTCGAATACGAGTTGCATACTTGAATTTAGTAACGAATCGAATACAAATAGTAATAATTATTCGAATAAAAAATGAATATGAATATTAGTATCATTTTTCAAATACGAATAAAATTTTATAATATTCGATTCGATTCGTCCGTTTTACAACCCTACTTAGGGGTAATGTCAATAAAAATACTCAGTTGTTTATTAGGTAGTAATATTTCGAAACAAATATTTAAATTGAAAATGTAATACTTAAAGGTTTTAGAGAAGATATCTGCCTGTTTGTTAGCTAGGCGAAAAGAAGCGGTTTTGATGAGGGAGAAAGGGTAGGATTGGAAGGAGATTGATCAGATGAAGGATGAAGGGAAGACACTCTTTTAGAGACCTGAAAGAGGCGGAGGCTGTTTGAAGAGAATGATTCCAGGTTCGTAAAATGGGCTTCCGTTGTTTATTCTTCTTGCAGTTACATTTTTTCTAGCCAATTTTCATTTTTATCTATCAATTCTTTTGAATGTGGCATTGTGTTCTAGTTGTGAAGGACATAGACAAACACTAGTAGTATTTGCTTAGGATATAGGAGTGATTGACGATTTGACGTTACTATGTTGCAAAGAAAATGCACATTTGGATGTGAGTAGCATAAAAATTGAAAAGGACACTTGGAAAATTGACGCAATCTCATAAGGATCTCTCGATGAAGTCATCGCTCTTGATATGTTATGACTTATATTTTATTTTCACTTATATTAAATAAGGTCCAAATTTCCTCCATCACACACAACCCCGATTAGCATTGGACTGGTCCTGACAAATAATATGGTATAAATTTTACAGTACATTTTAATTTGTCTTATATTTCTTTGTGTATTTTAGTCAAATTTTGGTAAGCAGAATTGAAATTGGCAGTTAAAAATAATGGAGTATTTGTTTGGGTGTTCAAATTATCACATCGAAAGAATTTGAAATGAGAGATCGAAGCAATGTCCATATCTGAAATGGATTATCATTTGAGACAACAACAACAACAACCCAATATAATCTTAACTCTTTTGGGATATGGGGTTCAAGATGTATGCCGTCTTACTTTCAAAAAACAAAGAGGTTGTTTTTGTAATAAGCAAGAGAAGTTTAATGCATCATTTTGATTTATTTATCCTTTGAGAGTTAATTTGAAATGAACTGGATTGAAGTTTTAAAATGAATGAGCATATCTATTCAGAAGGAATGTGTTCATTCGTATTCTTTAACTATAACTACATGTTGGACGGAAAGTGTCCAAATACCAAAATAAGCATGTAAACCCTCGGTTTTAAGTTCTTTTCTTTAATTTTCTTGTCACAAATTTTTATGTCTTTGCATAAATGGTTGAATCTTTGTCCCTGATTTGGTGACCTCATTATGGATTAGGCCTCTTCAGTGATTTGCTTTGATGACATTGAAATATTGTTGCATTCTCACTGCTAGTCTCGATAATCATTTAAACTGTGGTTTCCAGATTTGATCAAGTAATATGGCACAGATGGAGAGCACCATGAGCGAAAACTCTTCTCCTAGAAAACCTCGATGGAGAAAAGTTGCTTATGGAGGGATGCAACCCGGTTTTGATGACAACCACACAGATGAGTCTTTCCTAGAAGATATGATTATGAATGCCAACGTTGTCAAAAGGGACTTGCTAAAGGTGATTCTGGATTCAATTTCCATTTCCCAGTACATTTGCACTGTCTGTCTCGTGGTTTTGGTTTGGACGTACACCCTCAGATCTTCCTTGAATGAATATTCGCTCTTAGTTTTGAATGTTAGCCTTCTCGGGTTGGGTTTCCTCATTCTTCTCTTAACTGCAAACCTGCTCTCCTTCAACATTCTTCTCAGTTACGTCCTCAAGATTTTGTTTTTCATGACTGGGCTGTATATGTTGTCTCCCATCTACCATAGACTCACCCTGTCCATAACCTCGGACTCCATATGGGCACTAACAGCTTGTCTCCTCATCATAAACCTTTTCACCCATAACTACTCGGGATCCACAGTAAAAGCTCCGGGATCTCAAAGAAACCCAACTCTTGTAAGCAACATATCTTTGAATGCTTCTATAGTGGCTTCGCTTCTAATTGCCTCTCGCCTTCCGTCAAGACTTCATGTGTTTGCCGTTGTGCTCTTCTCCCTGCAAGTTTTTCTCTTTGCCCCTTTGGTCATCTTCTGCGTGAAGAGGTACTCGTTCAGGTTGCACCTGTGCTTTTCCTTTGGGTTAATGGTCTTGACGCTGGCTCTCGTCTACAGGTTCAACTTGTTACTCTTTGTTTTGTTGCTGTCCGTGTTTGTCTTTGTCAATTTGGTTTGCCCTTATTGGCTGATACGGCTTCAGGAGTACAAGTTTGAGATCAACGGTCCGTGGGACGAGGCCAAGCTCTGTTTTGCCATTACAGAATGAACATCAAAGCCTATATATTATGTTGTAATGTTGATGTCATCAATAATCTTTGGAGTAAAATGTAAATCTGGTATGCGAAAAAAGGGCTTCTTAAAGGGTTTTTTGGGGATATTCTGTTTTATTTGCTCACCAAGTTACTATAAATTTTACCAAGTTTACCCGGGACTATAGTAAAAACATTGTATAATTACCTAGTTTCTAGTATTTCAACATCTTAAATGTTTTACTTCACGTTGTTATATTAGCACGCATGTTCACTATTCACAGAGTCAAACTTCATTCATTTTCTTTCTCTATTTTCATTAGCAATTTGATAAAATAAAGTACTATTGTCACTACGAGTTTTGTAAATCTTTTGATGTAGTATTTTAATATGTAATTTTTATTTTTTTTAGTTCTATACCATTTGTCATATAAAATGATTTGAAAATAATTTTAGTCAAACATCATAAACCGAAACAAGCACCATAAATTGGAACGGAGGGAATAATAGTTTTTGGTATCCATATAAGATGCCTTTAACCGGGCCAAACTGCTGTCGCTGACTATCTAATGAGCCCTATGATGCTTAATTCTTAGGGCAAAAGATGCATTTTATAATACACAAAGTATGAATTATATTACTCCATCTGTCCTAAAATAGATTGTACAATTATCATTTTAATGTCTTGATAATTTTTTATTTGTTTTTCCATAATTTTATTGTTCATTTGATAAAATAAAATATTATTGCCATCATTTATTTTGTAAAACTTTTAATATAATTTTTAAATATATAAATTTTTTTCTATATCAATTTGTAAATAAATTAAATTTAAAAAGTACTACACATTGTTTAAATTTGTAATCTAATTAGGGACGGAGGGAATACTTCATTTGACGTCTTTTACATTGCCTAACTAGGCATACTAGGATAGCCCAAAAAATATGACTACATGTGTATCCGCACAAAGACCCTAATTTTTGTAAAGCTCAATATTTTTAAATATTCATCATTCTAACTATTTGATGTTTTAGAAATAAAAATTTTTAAACTTATAAATATATATTTTTTAATAGTCAAAGTATTTGCATAATTGATCATAAAAATAAATATTAGCATTGATTTACGTGGAAGAAGAAAATCGAAAATTGAGATTCTCTTGTAAGCTCAGTGACAAAGCTTGGTCTATGAGGAACTCACTAGGAGGTCAAGGCCACCAAATTGAAGATGGAAAAAAGAGAAACTTAGTTCGGGGAGAAAGATATCGTTTACTCGGGGCCAAGAACAAACGTAGCTGCAAGAAATGTCGGGAAGTGTCTGCTTGAATGCCACTCTGAGCGGTCACATGAAGATGCATGGGAAAAGATAAAACATAACCGATTTGGAGGCTGTGCAGCCCATTTGAAATAAGAAGTTATAATAGGAAGCACGATCTTGACAGGGATTTTGAGGCCTACTATGATCTTGTTGATGCTAGAGGCGGCGTCACTACTTGCAATGATGATTGATGATGACGACGAAGACCATGATGGCGACTATGATTATGATGCTAATGACGTGGCTTGTGATGATAATGATAATGAGATCTATAACTAGACATACTTGTATAACATATTTCAAAATTTCCCATGCTCTCGGTGGTCACCGGGAAAGCCATTCTTTTCACGTATTAAATTGCAAAAGGTGCATTTAAATTGGGGTGCATTAATTTTTTTATTATGACGCTGAACATTAAGAGCTGGTCTTGACGAGAAAACTTTGAAACATGGGATCCAAACATGACCAATTGCAGGCTTCTCATATCATCATTAGCCTCGTCATCAACATCATAATCATCATCATCATCATTGTAGGTAGTGATGTCACTTGAAGCTAACATCAACAAGATCCTAGCAAGCCTCAATATCTTCATTAAGATGTGGCTTCTTGTTATAACTTCCTAATGAGCGTTGTCTTCCAAACGATACGCCACACGGCCTACAAATCATGTAAGTTTTATCTTTTGCATGCAGCTTCATGTGACCGCTCAAAGCAGCGATCGAACCAAACACATTCCAACATTTCTTGCAAATATGATCATTCTTTGGCGAGTAAACTAGATCTTTCTTTCCACAACCGAGCTTATGCTTTTTTTCCATCTGCAATTTGGTGGCCTTGCCCCGGCTTGTGAGTTTCCCGTAGACCAAGCATTGTCACCGAGCTTATGAAGAATCTCATTTGTTGGTATTCCTCTTCTATCTAATCACTCTTTTTTCTGACTTCAGGATCAGACTTGTTTTTAATAAAGTAAAAATTGTGTTATATTACTATTTCATAGAGGCAAAAACAGAATATAACACGCTATTCTTCATAAAATGGAACAAATACTCCATATTAATTGGGCACGGATGAAAAAGAGAGAATCTCGTTCTACGATGTAGAGTGATGATCTTTGGAAAATCTACCACAAACAAATGGTGATTAAATCAGAAGCATAAAATATTAAACCAAGTTAAAATGCTACTCAGTACAAAATAACAGCTACACGTACATGTTTCAGTTTCATCTTTCGCCATATGCATTTGGTCCAAACTGTAAGGCTCTCCCTGCCTGTACTTTGTCAATGCATAGCTTGACTGTTACTATCGTCCATGGATGCTTCTTCCCCACACCCACTCTCTTGTATCAGCTGGCAAACCAGAAGATTATATGAATGATAAATGATGAGTTTGAAAGTGAATGCGGTGCTCTTTTTTCAAATCTAGAAAGACTAACAACTTGCACAAGCCAAAAAAATCAGTTTGGAAGTTTGGAACAATGGAAAATGAATTCTGGAAAATGAGTTCTCGAAAACGACTTCTAGAAAATAAGTTCATTTTCTAGTGTTCGGTTGAAAGTTTGGAAAATTAAAAAATATAGTTTTTGTTGTTATAACGTAATAAAACGTGGTGAGTTTCGATGTAAAGAGTAGGAGAAAGATGGAAAATGTCTTCCACCGGGGAAAAACAAATAATTTTCCTCCAAATTCAGCTCATTTTTTGATGACTTATTTTCCGGAAAAACAAGCCACAGGAAAATGGGGAAATGACTTCCCGAAGTCATATTCCTCATTCCCAAACGGGCCCTATAAGAAAAAAATGAGTTTGCAGAATACCAAGGAGCCAATTCGTTCGTATGCTTCCATTGTGTTTGGATCTTCTTCATCTGCATATCCTACTTGTAGTATCCTGGGACCATTCACTGACCAAAATGCACTTCGACCCGCCTCCTGAGGCAATCAAGGTTGCAGAAATAGGTCAAAACAGTAAAGCACAAGTCAGTAAGTTCGGAATATGATTTTTTGTAAGATTATAAGATCGATTTTATTAGGAACTTGGAAACATCTATTTGTCTAAGAAGATTGTATGCCTCGACACGGACTTGAACCGCGAGATGTGCACTAGCACTGCTTTTTCAAAACAGTGCCTACCACTTTCACTACATCAGTGCATACCTCTTTTCCCACCTATAATAGAATATTCTGGAGTATAATTCTGAGCTATGAAAAGGCAAACAGTGAGGTTGTTAAAGATTATACAGAGTAAAAATGCCAGTACTCCGTAATAAATTCTCAAGGAATTTGAACCCTGTAATTTTGTTGAGCCATAGAGTTCAAGCACCGAATTCAGGATGAATATGGCACCAAAATGCCAAATAATGAATGATATAAAGAAATGGATCAATAACTATGGAAAGGACTCGTGCGCAAAAGTGTACAGAGAACTTGAGGGACCATGGAGTTCTGGATTTACCTTCTCTAGGACTCTTGTGGAGGGGTTTTTAGGGGCCCGGGACTAGTGTGGTGAAGCTGGCAAACCTTTTGTATGAAATTGTTGAATGGAGAAGGGCATGAAAGAAAAACATATTGAATAGTGAATAGTGATTGTGAGGCCCCAATTCTTGACTGGAGGGGACAACAAAGATCTCTGCCCTTCCTGCCGCCTTTGAGTGGTTAGGCATAAAGACAGGCTGGGTAAGAAAAATGAGAGAGAAACTTCATCTCGCTAAATCACAGCTCATACGAGTCATCCAGACCATTAAACCATTTGTATAACATGAAGTCTATAATACACCATTCATTTTTATCCAGTAGCAAGAGGAGTTCATTCATTACTGCAGATGCCAGGAAACAACCTAGCAAACATAGTAATAAGCACATATCCAAGTTAAATTCACCTGTAAGACAAGTAGGTAAATAGCTTCCAAGGTTTGTACACGAATCTCAGGATCAGACACAGGTTCACGCTCAATGGAAAGTGCACTTGCAAGCTCAGGTGGCATTTTAGACGTGTCTTGCTCAGTATAGACCTGTTGCAAGTCAATAAAACAGGAGGAAACCAGATATTACCTTCATAAGCATTCGAAAAATCATAACAAAGGAAATACAATAATCATGCCCCCAACAAAAGATGTTGAAATGTAAAGAATTGTTGGGGAAAAGATAATAGCCTTCATTAGCCTATTTAATAAAAAAGAACACAGCGGCCATAATTAGATGCTTAAGGTGAAGAAGCCATGAAGGTGACTTAAGAACATCCAATGGTTGACACTCATGTGTCTGAACAAAAATAGTACATGTTAGGAACCTAAAATCACTTTTAGCTTTAGATAGGTGATATACATGTTTTGGAGTTAGCTTTTGCCAAGTGTCATTGATGGTTAATTTTAATTTGGCTTTAGCCAATTGTTGAGTAAACAAAATGTCTTGTCCCATCAAACAAAACACTTTCCTGCTACCCTTTACTCCTAATTCTGCTCTGAATGATAAGGAGATGAATACTTAGTAGACAAATGCTCCCTCCGTCCTATAAAAATAAAAGCTTCTCACATTCCTTTTTCATCCGTCCAAAAACAACTTCCCTTTCCTTTTAAAGTAAAGAACTTGTGGCTAAGAAAATTTCTCTCCTCTATACCAATTCTAACCACACCTTTTCACTTTTAAACATTTTCCTTAAACTCCGTGAAAGTCAAAGTGGGAAGTTTCTTATGAGACGGAGGGATCACGTGAAAGAATTTCTATGAGTGGGAATATTTGACTTTATTGCAAACTGCAACTAAGTAATTCTAGAGTATTACAATCCTCAGGCATTATGGTGCTTTGGGTTCACAAAACCTATGACAAATTTAGACTTCAAGTGCCAAAAGTTACAAAACAAAGATATTTATTGTTGTCAAAACACTCTAGGAGGAGGAAGTTCAATAATATCAAAGGGAACTTAGGTTTCCCAATTGCTGAAAAATGAGAAACATTCCAGCATCTCAAAGGACAAAGATATACGATGCCCAAGCAAATTCTAGTACAAAACAAATCCCTCTAGTCACTGTGATTTGTTTTAGGAGTATTTGATTGATTTCTAAATTGGCCTTCATAATTCATACCACCATTTCTATGCATAGACCTATGGAGCAAGATAAAGCAACCTTGTTTCCAGCAACTGGCAGTAGCAGAGCAGGCCACAGAAATTCTGAGATCAAAAGCAAATTTTGCAGCTGATTTTCAGCTTCAAAGCAGCAGTTGCGAATAGTTCCAGATACCTGAATTTGAAAAGTATTGTTAAAAAAATCCATTCAACATATCTAGACTTCACTATAAACTATATTAAATTAATAATGTGTGCACCACGCATACCCCTTTCTTTCGCAGCATGCTTCGTGAATCAAACTGCCGAATAATTTGCTTCAGAAGACCCCGCTTTGGGTCAAGCAGAAGCCTCCTCCCTTCTTCTTTTTTTGAAATATTCACCAGTACAGAAGCTACGTGCTCAAAGGGATCACCTAATGATCATAGATGGTGATGAAAATGTGTCATCTTATTATCTTAATGTCAATTTACAATTTTGCAAGGGATTAATCTTTTATTCTTCATGCTTAACTTTTCTAATGATATACATAGAGGAATATGTTTCTGCCTACATGAAGCCTAAAACAAGACTCAATCCACTAATTTTAACTTTTTGCATTGAGTAGTATAAAAGTATCATGAAGCCCCTATTCTGTTTGAAAAAATAATAAGACTACATAACACCATAATACCAAAGCATTTTACATGCATGTCACAAGTTTGTGTTCTGCAGTAAAAAAGGTATCCCGAAGCCCCTATTCTGTTGGAAAAATAATAACGCCATAATACCAGAGCATTTTTCTTGCATGCCATAACGCTTGAAGTATATACGCATGTTTTACTTTTGAAATTTTAAACTTCATCAATATATGCAAATAAAGGCGTTGTTCTGAGAGATTTTGGGTATTGCTCATTCATAGGCCTTAATCCTTCTTTTCCTTTTGGAGGCGGCTCAGTGTCTTGAATCCCCACCCCTTTACCAATTGAAGGTGGAAGAACTTTACACAAAAGCATCTTAATTGATTATACACGGTCCCCTAAAAGAAACCACATTCATACCATAAAATACTAGGGTAATTAAACAGATGTTCAAATTCCACCCCATGTGTAAATCTTTGAAGCTGATAAATTTGGTGTTTGCAGATGACTTGATTGTGGTGTGTAAGGCAGAAGAAGATTCTATCAAAGATGTACTGAGAGCACTGGATCATTTTAAAGAAGTTACAGGCCTACACATAAATTATGACAAATCACAGATTGTGATGGGAGGAGTGAATTTGGAGATAGAGAACAGAATTTTAAGGTTAACTAACATGGCTAAAGGTGAATTTCCCTTCAGATATCTTGGATGCCCCATCACAGCTGCAAGGATTGGACAGAGAGAATGTGATAGACTGGTGGAGAAGCTTACCACTAAAATCAACTCTTGGATGACTAAGCACCTCTCCTATGCAGGAAGGATCAGACTTATCAACTCTGTCCTATTTGGTATTGTATCTTTCTGGTCCAGAATGTTTGTTATACCTAACAAAGTCATGAAAAGGATTCAAGAAGTGTGTAGAAATTTTCTGTGGGGTTCCTCACCCATGTATAAGGGATGCCCCCTGATTGCATGGGAAGAGGTCTGTCAACCAAAGACAAATGGTGGATTAGGACTGAAAAATCTAATCAAATGGAATAAAGCTAATGCTATGCAGCTGATTTGGGATATTGCCAATAAAAAAGATATTCTTTGGGTTAAATGGATGCACCATAGGTATGTAAAACAAGACACAATAAGGCAGTACGAGAGCAAAGGGGATAAATGCTTCTACTGGAAAAAGCTTTTGAAGGTAAGGGATGAATTCAAGAACATGCCTGTGAGGGGTGAGTACACCAATAAGGAAGGTTATAACTGGCTTATGGGAGAAAGACCTAAAGTGGCTTGGGCTCATACAGTATGGAATAATTGGACTCAGCCCAAACATCAGATAGTGGCCTGGGCGCCTGGCTAATCTGGAAGGGGAGGTTATAAACCAAGAGCAGGTTGAGTAAATTCCTGCAATTAGACACAAGGTGTGGTACCTGTGGAAAGAGTGAAGAAGACCTGGACCATTTATTCTGACCGTGCCAATATGCTACAGAAGTCCTATGTGAGGTGTCTACCTGGGTGGGGGTGGACATCAAGGTGCAAGCACTTGGAGAATTTGAGGTGATGTTGGACTCTTGTAAAAACAGGAAGGAAAGGAAACTAAGAGCAACTATTTTAATGCTTGTTGCTATGCTATATGCCTATATGGAGAGCAAGGAATCAGATTGTCCATGGGAAAGAAGCTATTTCGGCTAGGATGCGCATAGAATATCTTAAATATCAAATCTCTACTTTTGTGCTTTTTAAATATAAGTAGTACAAGGGAGTTTGAATTGATGAATGTAACAGCCTGAGGGCTGATTAAATGTATTGGTATCTGTGGAATAAAATTTGCACTTTGTTCAAAACAAAGAGAGTAACGAAAAAATAGAGTTGCATTTAGATGTTGAAAGGTTGAACAAAATATTCTATAAGCATGGGTGTCAGCTACAAAAAACAGGGAAACGTTTCCAGTATAAGGGAACATTCATTCTAAAATCTCCCTTTGCCATCTACTTTCTCAATTGTTGGATTCCGGGGACCAAAGTTGTGGAGTACAGAGAACGATAAAAGAGAATTATGAAAATCAATTAACATAGTCTAAAAACTTCACACACCTTTTTTCCCAGTAGATGATGAACAGAAAGACCTCACGAGCTTCATAACATACAGGCCATGCATTTTTTCATCACCTGACTTGATTCGCAAGGTAAGAAAAAAATCAAGAAATTAGGGGGAATAGCCCAATAGGGTGCTTTATTAAGAGCCTATTCATATTTAAAAACTTGTTAATCGGTCAAATGAAAACAACAGATGTCTAGAACTATAAATAACCTTGATCAGGAAGTCAACACCAGCATCCAGTTGTGTCAGGTTAACAAGGAGCATGACCAGCAAATGCATAATTTCACAGTCTTGCTTGTACAAAATCTTCATTACCATTTTTATCATATTCATTTTGATCATCTCACCTGCTAACTTTGGATTTGGAGACAAATTCACAAGTGCTTGTGCTGCAGGTTCTGAAACCTCCTAAATTGAAAGATCAAAAGAGCCAAGGCAGAAAAGTTAATCATGTACGAATTATAGATAGATGATAGATCAAAACCCAACTCTTTCATTTTCATTCATGAGAACAACTATTGGACCAGATCCTGTTTTAGCTCAATTATTATAGATTACATTGTTTATTTGAATCACATTCAAAATACAAAGAAATGGGAATATCAACAAAGATGTGACACAAAGAATAAAATGATGGCTCAAATGAAGGAGAAACAGAGTTCTATGTGATCAAAATGCACCACTAAGATAAAAGGGAAAATTGTATGGAGTATAGGACTCTTACAAGACTGGCTTTACAATATGTATCAGAATGTTGGGCAATGCAGAAAGATTTGAAAAAGAAGGTGAATGTGGATTAGATGCATGCGTTGTGATGCTTGTGGCACAACTTTTAAAGAGAGAGTGGCACAACGAGGAAACTCGTTGGAAGGTGGGTTTTGCCACTACTATAGATAAAGTAAGAAAGAACTGATTACGTTGGTTCGGGACTTCGGGCACACAAAATAATGCGAACTAGGAACCCCGCTAGAAAGAGTGGAGTCTTGGAGCGTGAGATTTGAAAAAACAAAAGGACAGTGTAGACAAAAATGACTTGAATTGAAGGTGTAAAGAGGGGCATTAGACATTTAGGGCATAGGGACATATGAGCATATGGTCCGTGACAAAAAAGAACGAAAACGCAAATTTCAGTGGTTGACCTCATTAGATTGAGTGAATTACGTGGATAGGACTAAAGCAATAGTGCTTTACGTAAACAAGACCTAATTCGCGTGTGGGACTATTCGTGTAAAAAATAAAAAATGTCCTATTTGTGTAAATGTTCCATGTTGTAGTCCCATTTGAGATAATTTTCTCTATTAGATTTTCTATGCATTAGTGTAACAGACCTCATCAATTTGGGAATGAGGCTTGGACGTTGTTATTGTTGTATCCTTTGTAAACATCTATAAATTTTCCCAAAAGATGTCTACAATTTCAGTAATGTAGACTAAATATATACTTGAGTAGTGAAACAAGAAAAGTCAAAACTTGCCCGCATATTTATATTGTCATAATAAATGTTGTCTTGAAATTTGAAAATGTAAAATGACCACTAATTTGGGACAAAGAAATATTTAAGTTACATGCTTAATTTTTCTAGTACGGAGGGAGTAATACAAGATAGACTAAGACTCGATCATTCATATCGATCTTGTTATTCTCTACAAAAGACCACTACCTTGAAATAGAGCCACACACGTGAAGCAACATAACACACATAAGGGGCATTGTGAATCTATACTGCTGACATTGTACATAATTCAAAATAAGATATCATCCTAAATAAGAGTAAAAACATAGAGAAAGTGCCAAAATATGAGCTCCGTGTTTTTATCCCAAAATAAGAGTTTGCATCATGGTAATGTGGCACTATATATGGACATTTCAGTATACTTTTTGGTAATGTATATGGTCATGATTGACACTGTATATGCATTTTAACTCATATTTCGGGAATAAAAGCATTGAACACCTAGTTTAGTATATTTTCAATGTTTTATTCCTACTTTAGTCTTTTTCCCATTCAAAATCATGTTTTCTACATCTTGTGTTTAAATAGACTACCCGCAGTAAGAATCAACCAAATTGCAATATAACCAGCAAATCTATACCTACTTATTGAAATTAGTTGCCCACCCCNCTCTAAATTTTAACTATCTGAAATTCTGATGCATCATACATTGATCAAAATGCCCCACAAATCCTAGAACATCAGAGAAGGATAACACAGAAATACCTTGCTTTCCCCGAGCAGCAGAGACAAAGACGGGAGCACAATGCTGGAGTATTTACCAAGAGATTGCAGCCCCTCTTCGGACCCAGTATAATCTCGAACTATATCCACAGCCGCTTTCTTAACCTAGGATTCGGTTGTTCAGTGATAAACAATGGAGAAATTCATAAACCTCGATGTTTCAATCGAGGGGCACTGAGACGACATACGAACAATCGCGTGCATAATGGATATGCGCGAGGGAGAGACGCTTACTGTGGGGGAAGGAGACGATAGAAAGCCAATCAGTTCTTCGAGTTCAATAGCCATTGATGTCTTGCTCGAGGATTGAAAAGTATTGGAGGCACTATAAACGGGGTTTAAGGCAATTGTCATGTGAAAAAATCATTTAAATAATCAAAATTTAAAATGTTTAGAATATGAATAAATATTTATAACATTTAAAATGTTTAGAATATGAATAAATATTTATAACATTGAAGATGTTTGCAAGTGATTAACTTATGAATAAAGTAATGTTCACAAAAACTGAAACTAGAAGCACCAAATATTTGTTTCTTCAAAACAATGTTTTATGTACAAAACGATGATAAAAAAAATAGAAGTTAGATATTCCAAAACTAATTTTGCAGGTGAAAATGGAGCAAGATTAAAGGATATATAACTACAAAACTGAATATTTGCATCACCATTGGATATACACTTACATAATTTAGGAAACCTTGTTTTTATTTATTTTAGAGAAAATTCTCCAAATGAATAATAGAGTGTTTTTTCAAACCAGCCTTCAATAAATTTAAATTACCTACATAGTCCTTTATAATTGAGATTTGTTCTTTAGATAGTTTTCATAAATAATATTACTCAAATGATTATTAATTAGGAGGTATTTTGATATTTTTTATCAGCTAAAGTTAGAATAAGTTTTTAAAATGATCATTTTTAATGAAGTAATTTCCAAAATAATTTTTTCTAATAAAAAATGTGTATTTGATTCAAATCTTAAAAGATTTTTTCTATAAGTTTTTAATAATCCATGAATTATGTATAGTCAATGTATTGTTTTAATTTTACATTTAATTGTATTGAAATGACCATTTTAAAACTATACTTTAAATTTAGATCAAAATACCCTTTAATTAATCATTATTTATTTGAGTAACATTACTTACGAAGGACTACATAACGAATAAATCTCACTTATAAAGGACCACGTATGTAATTAAAACTTATTGGAGACTGAATTGAGAAAAAATCTTATTATAAAGCACTCTTTAGGGGATTTAGTTTGAATTTTAGAAGATATAATAACTACTCCCACTGCCATAATTATATTTGTATATTCTTATTTGGATTGTGCAAGAGTAGTTAGAGCAACTATAAACAACTCCTTTCGTCTCAAAATTATCATTTTATTTTGAAAAAAATGTTTAAAATTCTATCTATTTTAAAACTATTTTGTTTACAAATTGATATACAAATGAAAAGTAAAAATATATTTTTAAAATTACATTAAAACTTTAAGAAAACAACAAATGCTAAAGTATTTTATTTTATCAAATACTCCATTCGTCCTGAAATTAACTTTCCAATTTGACTTTTATAATCAATTTTTTTAACTTTAACCGCATATTACAGAAAAGATAAATTAAATTTTCATATAAATATTTTATCAATTAATTAATTTTGAAACATAGTTTTGAATATATTATTTTTATAATATATATCGATATAAAACAGAGATATTATTGATTAAATTGTTGTATTGTAAAAAACAAATGAGAAGCTAATTTTAGAACGAATAATAGAAGTAGAATATACAATACAAATAAAATGTATTTTTAACATTAAAAAAGGTGCTTTCCTTAATAAAAAAAAGGATGCTACGCGAGCTTGCTCCAATATACGGGAATTAGCACAGGCGTTTTTGCCTGCTCTGCCAACTTCTCGCTTGAGGATCAGGTAAATTTTGCATTCCTTCTTCAGTTCTTCTTCTTCCCATGGATGATTTTTGAAAGCATTCAATTCCTTGCGAATGTATGCTCATGGAGATTTCTGTTTCCTATTCCCAGTCGTCTTCGCTTGTCAAATGTCTGCACCTGTTGAAATGCACTCCGAGCGCCCGCTCTTTGGCGGCGCCATCTCTTCTTCTTTCCCAAGCCGCCTCCAGGTCTGCAACTTTCATTGATTTCCCCAAATTTTGAACTTGTTTTTCGATTTTTTGTCGTTGTTGAATTGTTTGAGAAGTAATCGATTTCTTCTATTCAAATATCAGGACGTTAGTAATGTACGCCAAGTTCCCGATCATCAGGTCAGGTTGCGTTAATTTGAAGCATATGTTAGTTTCCAGCGTTTTTATGTTAGGTTTGGATTTTTGTTGGATATGTAGTGATTAATTTATGGTTTAATGAATGCCAGGAGGTGTTTGTAGACCCTGCCCGGGATGAGAGTTTGATTTTCGAGCTTCTGGATTTCAAACCGGATGTGGCTGATGATGCAAGCGCTACTTGGTTTCTTCAGGACCTTGCTAATGAGCAAGAAGCCGAAGGAGGCACGGTAATGGCTCGTTTTTAAATCAACCGTAGTTGTTAATTATTCTGTAGGTTTTCTTTATGTCTGTGAGATGTTTTCAGCTAATTAGCTCCTTAGTTTTGAGTTGCGTCTGCTTAGGTTTGATTGACATGAATCATCGAACTGTATTTGGTGTTTTCTCAGAAAATCATTTTTATTGCTTTGATGCTAAAAATACTTGATTAGTTTAGAAAAACTATAAGTGTGGACAGTGTCTGTAAAATTTGATGCTAATTATTGATTAAATGTTTTAGAATATTTGAAAAACAAACTGCTTGTAAGATACTTAATTACTTAATGGTTAAATGACCAAAAAACTCATTCATGTGGAGTTAGGTTCTTGACATACTTGGACAAGACTGTCAAAAAGCTTTACATTAATTAATCCGTACATTTATATCATACGACCACATAATAAGAAAAAGTACACTTTGAAAGGTGCCATCACTTTTGGCTTTTGGAGGTGTGATATTTGATTATTTAAACACCTAAAGCCAATAGAAAGTGGCTAATTTGTTCAAAATGACTTTACAAAGAGTCACAAGTAATTCCATCTGTGGTTGAAAACACTCCTATTAGTTCCCAGCGAGAAGCAGGAGACAAGAAGTTTTATATTTTTAATTTTTGTAATGTATTCCTGTCGTCTCGATTTAGTTAACGACTTTTCTTTTTGGGGATTTCCGGATCCAATTTTCCATTTAATGCTTTAGTAACAGAATGTTGTTTTATATAAAAAACACATCCTAAAGCGCATGTTATTGGAGTTGCAATCTATGAAGGACCAGTTAATTTCATGGTTTTTCCTTTGTTATTTAACCTCATTCTTTAAATTTGAGTTACTTTGAAAAACGGACGACTAAATTCGAAGGGAGTATTTTTTCTAGTCAATTTAAAATGCAAAAATGAAATTTTAAAAAATATATGAAAAACCACCTCTGGGGGTTCGAGGGTTGAGGGCTTATTTCTCAAAAATCAGTTTTAGAATTTGTATGAAGTTGATTTCCATGAACTTGACTATCTTAAGTACTCCGTAAATGGTTGTGGAGTACTGGAGTCCATTGATGAAATACTAGTATATTCTTAGTGTGACAAGCTACTAACCGAGGGTTGAGGGCTTATTTCTCAAAAATCAGTTTTAGAATTTTTATGAAGTTGATTTCCATGAACTTGACTATCTTAAATACACCATAAATGGTTGTGGAGTACTGGAGTCCATTGATGAAATACTAGTATATTCTTAGTGTGACAAGCTACTACTATTATATTGCTTAGCATCTTGTAATAGTTTACCTCTTTCTAAATCTTTATATAAATAAAACCTAATTAATACAGAGTATAATCTAATTTAATGAATTTCAAAGGTTTTTCATTTTGCTTTTGTGTGACTCGTGTACTGTCTCCATTCTAAAATTAATTTGTTAATAGTGTACTGTTTTATTGCGAGAAGCCATGAGTTTCATACCTTCTTCAATGTGCACGTGCAGTTAATTGAGAAGTCAGAAGTGTTTGAGGTTCCTGGACTGCGCTTCATGACCTTGCCTGCTATCATTTCTACTGCTGTTGGGCAAATGGTATGCAGTCCTTACTCACTTCTTATGTTCGAATTATTCATGTGCCTCATTTTTCTAATCATTTACTTATTTTGTTGATGCCGAATGAACTATGTACCTCTCATTTCTCAACATTGTTGGTGGATCAACCAGCCATATGCACTAATCGATGTGGTGGTAATAACGTTTTATTAACTGCACATGGTTCAGTGGATGTGAATGATCCAAAAAGTGTTTTATTCTTTTTAGTCAATTCATCTTCACTGATTCATGTGTCATTAATAAGAATCGATGCTGGTGATTATATCGATGCCTTTTTGGTCTCCACATTAGATTATCTTATTTCGGATATATTTGCATAGGTTTATGTGCCTTTCTTCCATCTGCAACCTCGTGCTCAATTTTGTGAAGTGATGAACTTGTAGTTGGACTTCATCAATCTTCTTTGATCTGATTTTTCATAACAATCAATATGACAGTGATCTCAAATTGTGTTGGTATATCCCAGTTCATGTTCTCTTGAAAAGCATTTCAGTCGTTTCACGTCCAAATGAAAAATGAAATGTTGGCAATTTTGATAAACTGTTTTCCTTCTTTGTCTTCATATTTTTATTGTAACTAGTACTTTGACCCGTGCCACGCACGGGGTTAAACAAAATTTTTGTTAATTCTAATATTTTTTTCAATGTAATATTTTTTCCAGATTAAATAAAATATATTTTCAATATGATTTTTAATACAATAGACATCAACATCAAAGTAAAATAAACAATATTTGAAGAGTGAAAGTCTAAACGATAAAGTCTATCTTTTTACTCTGTGTGTCGTAAGCCTTAAAATATGTGCAAGTGTTGTTTGCTTTTTTGTAAATTTGTATTTAGTGGAAGAAGTAGATATACTTTGAGAAAAAATGTGTAGTTTGTATAAAAACAATCTGTCTAAAAGCTCCAATGCCCCATGTGGTATGGAAAATTGGCACCCATACCCATCTGTTTTCAAAACTTATACGGAGTATCTAAAATCTTTGTAGTTTCAAAATGTTGCACCCACACCTCCTTTGATCATTTTCCAGCGAAAATGGGGTGTTTATGCCTATGTTCCAAACCATAGGCATAATGATGACCGATATCATGTTTCTCGTGATTGAATTTCACAGAAAAAATGTTTGCTCCACAAACCTGAGGCCCCCACTTGTCCTTGCCTCTAAATGTTGGTGGAAGAGTTAAATTGTGGTACATATTCAATAAGTCTGTCATAGTAAACATGACCTTTCGTAGGAGTAACTGGAGATGCGTTATTAGAGTTGTAGATTCTTTTTTCGAATTTGTGAGCAAGTGCTATTGAGGTTGAGCTGTTTGTTGTTTGGCTGTTGGCCGGGCATTAGTTTTTTCTTTGTTTTCTTTGCAATTGTGAAGTAGCAATTGGTCAATGCAACTTTTGACGCTCATCATGGGTCATCTGGAAACAGCTGCTCTATGTTTTAAACATAGGGGTCACGTTGCGCACATCCGACCCCCCCTTACCCCGGAATGGGCGGGAGCCGTTGAGGCACTGGGGTAATGTTGTAGTTGTGTCTTTGTTGTATTCTTCCCTTACCTTTTAGTCTCTTTGTTGTTTGCCTGCTTTCTTTGTTTCCCCCTTTTTGTTGCGTTTTTTCTTACATTTGTGCCTTTGCATTACTCGTCACTTGTTGGGGTCTTCTCGAAGATAGTTTTTCTGTTCGTAAGGAGAAGATGCAATGTATGTGTCCTACTTACCCTACTTTCTGAGTGAGGCATATTGTGTATGTTTGGTTACACCGCGGCTGGAAGTAAGGTGGTTGAAATAACATCTAACAATGAAGGACTTAGTGAGAGGTTTGCTGGGAATTCGTTTCATTTGCGGGGTTTGATTGCAGGCGGCCCATTCGAATTGAAGTCCACATGGCTATTAGAGCTTGTTCTCTTCTTCTAATCTGATTGGATCTGACCTGGTTTTTTGTAGTGATATTTTAAACTGTTTCTGATCTGGTCTAATGATCTCATCTGGTGATCTTATTCTTAATAAGAATAAGTTGAAGAGAAGGAGCTCTTAGCCTCTTGACCTACTTGATCACTCATCACTTTACAGCAACATGTCATGCTACATGTTAAATGCCATGCTTGAAATTTTATACGTGTGGTGATTTCTACTTTTAACTTATGCATAAATATTGGTCCTTAATTGGATACGTTTCTGTGTCAATAGACAAGATTTGTTACCATGGAATAAAGTCTGGTAACGGGTCTATTGAGGAGGCATTTTGAATAATTGCATCTCATTGCCTAGTCTGTTTGCCAGTTTTTATTCTTAAATCTAAATTGCAATTGTTATATACTCATATATGTTCAGTACTTCTTACTTCCAAGTACTCATTTTCAGGGCATATCCAAGGGAAGGCAAGGAAGGGAAGCACAAAACTTGGTCAAGGTCAGTTTCTGAATTTAATGCCCCCACAATTAGGGTGGAACAAAAAACAAAAAAAACCAATAAGGTGAAACTGACCGTAGCCAAATTTATTAAAATCAAAGCTGACGAAAGCCGATCTAACAACAGGCGGTTCAGTTTACATTTCAAATTTTATGCATTAGAAACCAACCGAACCCAATTGCAAATAACTGAACAAAACCCGACAAGCCCTTTGGTTTGGTTTTCAGTTTTACACCATACAAACCCAAACAGTTCTAAAACTGAACCAGTGAAGTAGTGAACAACACCCTTTGGTGCAATGTCGGATCTTGAAAGACGAGATCTAAATATTTGTCATCCAGGTTTATTTGGCAAATGTGCGCCTCAAGGAAGTAAATACAGATGTTCTGATCACAGCATATGAGCCTATCGTGATCAAGTAAGGAAGCTCTCTCACTGTTCTGTTATTTTTCTCATCATCAACCTATCGTTGCATAGATTTCCTTCTTGCAAATGATATGTTTGATTTGCTTTAATTTTCGATTGTAGCTCGTTGAGCGAAAGTGCAGGCGCCGTTGGGGCTGGTATAGCTGTTGCTGCTGAGCAAGCTGGATGCATGCCAATGTCTGAGGTCTTTAAACTCGCTGTTTCCAGCTTTAAAGTGTGTAACTGGGGACTTTTTAGTGCTGCTTGATGTTGAAGGAGAAAATCCTCTTGCCCTGGAGGAGGTATTGCACTCTACATATCTGTTAGTAATTTTTCTTATAACACTAGTATATGCTGTTGCAGAATGTTAGTGTTTTTAAGGGTTCAGATTGGGCTGAATAATTATAGAGAATTAGAGTCTAGTTCTATGTTCTTTTCTGGTTAGTGCACATTCACTTTAATATATTGATTTTTTTGTGTATGAATGATAATGGGATGGCTTTGGATTGGGTGCACATTCACCCTCATCTATCTATTCACTCCCCATCCGTTACCCGACTCATCCATGACCCATTATGCACATCATCTATCACCCGTTATATACATTATCTAGCACCCTATCCATCCGTCATCGGTAGGGTGAAACGAGTGCAAAGTGGATGAAGTTATAATAGTAAAACGACTAAGTTCAGTGGCCACGGAAGCCACTTCCCCTCTACGATGCTCCACATTCATAAAATTGATGATTCCTACCCATCTTACCCCCGGTAAGCTCCCGTGCCCAGTCCCGACCCCAACTCATCCCCCCACCTATGTCGATTGCACCCCGTAAGTATAGTTGACTTTAAAGTCAAAGTTTTGACCTCAAAATCAACTAAAATTACGGGGTGCAATTGACGTAGGTGGGGGGATGAGTTGGGGTCAGGACTGGACAGGGGGTTTACCGGGGAGTTAGGAGGAATAGAAACCATCAATTTTACGAATGGAGCATCGTAGGTGTCTGAATCGGATAGTGGCTTCCGTGGTCACTGAAACCCAATGTCCACGGAACCGGGCCGAGAGTAAAATAGTAATATTAATAAAAACATTTCATAACTTTTTTTTGGTGCACGAGAAGAAGAAGAAGAATCCATACCCGACTAGATTCGTCATTGGATCCATCCATTAACCGAGTATCATCTATACATATTTTTTTGGATATCGTTCATTTTATCGGGTTAGGTAGTTCGGATATTTATTGGGTAAGGATGATGACTATGTTCTTTCCAAGCTTGTTGAATGGAAATATTCTGATAAGAGCTCGGGGTTTCTATCTCAAGTCCTCAACGTCTTCAGAGCCCTATTTAGGCTCTAGTTCGGATTGATGTCCTAGGGAACGAGGGATGCCATAGCTACGATGTTGTGCGTTTATAAAAGTCATTCCTTCCTATATTTGAATTCCCGTTTTGAAATTTAGTACTTAAGATTATTATAAAAAGCCTACTATAAGGATATTGCCATTGCAATGTCAAAGATCATTCAATCTGGAGAATGTACTATGGTGCTAATAAGATGAAGAGCTTCTCTGATAGCCATGGCTTCTGAAACTCAAGGTTTTGTAGCCCACTGATTATCACAATGTTCTTGGTGCCAAAAACACATCTGTTCATCATTCTTAGCCCCCTCTTATGCCAACTTTGTTCTGCTTGAAAAATAAAAAGAGTAAATTTCATAAATGGTTTCTTATAACAGATGACTAAATATTTCTTTTCATATATAGTTCCTAGAACAGTGATTATGAATTATTTTTGAAAAATTGAGAATCATGAATATAATATTTTAAAATTAGAGACTAAATATGAAAAATTACAAGTTATAAGGGACCATTTATGCCCATCCTTTTTGTGGTCTTGTCCATCTTGGTTCCTTAACAATGGCTTCATAAATATTGTCATTGCTAGTGTTATATATTTCTTGATTTTAAATGATAGTTGAGATTTTAAACACAGGATATGTAAGTATCTGGACAAATTTTATTCTATATTTGATGTTTTTTTAAAAAAAAAACTCCTATAATTGAGTGCATTTCAATCAGTGTCTATGTGATCACAAAATGAATATACAAGTTTACTTTTGGAGTTTAAAAAAGGAAAGGAAAAATGTGAGTTAGGTTTATGGTAAAATTTGTCCATTTCTTATAAATAAAAATGGAGTGCATTTCACCAAAAGCGGCCGGATAGATTTAGCACTATCGCAAAATACAAATTATGGAGTAGCATTTACAAAATAGAAGATAAAAAATATTGCATTTTATGTAATACTCTATATATGTCTATTATTAACTTATAATTGTCTAGTATGTGAAGTGTTTAATTTAAATAGAAAAATGTCATTTTAGTTATAAAAATTTTAAAATAATAAAAGTCAGCTAGACCCGCCTGATCACCACCTAGGCACCTTGGCTGTGTTTTGAGTGCCTTGGTTAAAGCTAAGGGATTGTTAGGCACTGTCTTTATGGCTTTTTAGAACACCGTCGTTCGAAAATTATCTTAGCTTTGAAGTAAACGGGCATGAAGTGCATTGGTGTTGCATCCCCACACTTCTCATTTATTGAGTTCCAAATCATGCATGGGGCGTAGTTCGGCTGGTTGAGAGCGTAGTGACGTAGTTGAGCTGGTTGAGGGAGGGTAGTAGCGTAGCCCACCTGGTTGAAAGGGTAGTGGCGTAGTTCAGCTGGTTGAGAGGGTAGTAGCGTATAATAGTTCAGCTGGTTGAGAGGATAGTGACGTAGTTCAATTGGCTCAAAGGGTAGTGGTGTAGTTCAGCTAGTTGAGAGGATATTGACGTAGTTCAGCTGGTTGAGAGGATAGTGACGTAGTTCAGCAGGTTGAGAAGATAGTGGCGTAGTGTCACATGGGTAAATAGGGATTCGCCTCTTGTAATGGCGATATAAAAGGATCCTACTATGCATGAGATTCTTGTAGGGTCAGGGACTAGACTAAGATTATTGTCAAAAAATCAAAAGTTCAAACTTATGAATACACATGCAGAAAAAGTTTTTATATTCTAACAATATAAAGAGCTACTTTGTCTCGTAATTTGGATACTAGTTTGATTTGGCACATTTTGTTTAATAAAGTAAAAATTGTGTAATTGCAAATAACTTTAAAGAAAATAGAAGCAATATGAACACTATTATATATTTTCTAACAACAATGGTAGGTGTACACCACTTGGTGTGCAAGGATTCCATTGGCAATACTCATAGCTCATAGTGACATAAAATGCTACTCCCTCTGTTCTCAAAAACACTTCCTTTTTCATTTTTTCCACTTCCAACAAAACACTTCTCCTTTCTATTAAAAAATTACTTTTACCCTTACTTTTTCCTACCCTACCTATCACATCATACTTTTTCTTTAATAATCTATCCATCACATCTTACTTTTACCCATCACATTAGGGGCAAAATTGGAAATCAACTATAATTTAACACTTCCTTATTTTTGCCCCCAAATCAAATGGGAAGGGTTTTTCCAAACGGAGTAGTAAAATGTTTTATAATCTGATGATGTTTTGTACCAAGGTTTGTCTTCAATGTAAATCTTTAGTGCACAACGTGGATACACCATCTGGGGCGCAAGTAAGATTTTTTCAATTTCTAAAAGAAAGAGTAGAATATAATTTTAGGACAATATAAATTTAAACGAAAAATGAAGGAACGAAATTATGGGACAATCATTAAAGATTTATTGGTTGCTACTTATTAAGGGGGGGAATGAATACCCGAATTGACATGCCAATGAAGCTGGAATTGTCCAAAATGTCAGAATTGAGACTTCTATATACCATCTTTTTTTATGTTTAATGGGGAACTACTCCCTCCATTTATTTTTATTTTATAATTGTCCATTCATTTTTCTGTCAAACAATTAATTGACAATATCTAATAGGGCGTTGTTATCCACTTTCATTTATGCTAAGTTCACTTCATTTAGGCTTTGTTTGGTAACAACGTTTTTGATTAGCATTAGCGTTTTGGATAAAATTTTAACGGTGCAGATTAATTCTGAAAACGCTAACGCTAAAGGCTACCGTCGGATAGCTTTTTCAAAACGCTAACGCTAATCTCTGACGCTGATGCCAAACTGGGCCTTATACTCTATCATATCCTAAAAATCTTTCTTGTTTTGACTTTTTTCAATTGATGGTTCTTACCCTCCATAATCAACCCCTACCCCAGCTCCACCCCTCCCCCCACTCTGATCTAGCCCCTCCAAATGTGTGGCTATTATGCACATTAGATATTAGATACACATTTGGAGGGGGGTTGGGTGAGGGGCATGGGTGTGACTGGAGTAGGGGATTTAGAGAGTGTTTATGGGTGTAAGAACCATCGATTTTGCAAACGGAGCACCGAAAGTACCCGAAAATAAGTGTGTGTCATCTGTTGACACTAGATTCTAGTGTCAAAAACCCCACCCATTTAATTATAATATAAATTCAATATAATTAGGTTCATCTTAAGATATATTTGATATATTAAATTTTTATATTTCATATTATTTATTTAGATTATGTTTAATTTGTAATCAAAGAGTGACTGTTTGACAAAAAGAGTTAAATCAAAAAAGGTTTTTAGAACCTCAAGAAGTAATAAATAAACAAATTTGTCCTTATGTACAAAAGAGAAACTTTAGATGAAACCAATCTTTTAAGGAATAAATAATCCATTTAATATAAAAGGTAATGAATTTAGCAACACCTTATTTGGGATAATAGCATGGATGCCCCCCGTGGTTTACAAAAGAAGCGCCATAACCCCTTCTACTTTCAAAAGTTATTTGTAAAACCCCTGTGGTTTTTAAATAGTGCACAAACACCCCCTCTTGCCTATTTTACACATGAAATAACATTTCTGCCCTTGGTTTTTTTTTCTATATCTTCAAATTTCACTCTTTTCTTTACATTTTTTGTTATACAAATAAATAAAATAAAATATACACCCTCTTTCTCAAGTTAAATTTTTTTATTTATTTAATTTTCAAAAAAAATAATTTTTTAAAGAAAATGTTACAAAAATGAAATAAAATACACTTTTTCATTATAAGTAAAAGTAAAATAAATAAAATAAAAAATTGGATAACATATACTCACTCTATCTGTAATTAAAAATTATAACTTATTTGTTTTTTAAAAGTAAAATAATATTTTAAGGACTTTAAAAAATGAAGAACAGAACGATGAAATAAAATATGGATTTAAAGAAAAAGACTATTTTTTATATTTTTATTTCTTTTCATTACTTTTTCTAACTATTATCACTTTTTACTTTGTACATAATATTTCATTTTTCATTTTTTGTAACATTCTCCAAAAAAATCTTTTGTTTTCAAAAGTACATTATGAAAAATTCTAATTTGAGATGAGAAGCGTATATTTTATTTTATATATTTGTATAACAAATGAAATTGAAATTGGAAAAATTCAAGATCGGGGA